TATCCCCCTATAGCTCCAGGTTACCCATTGGTATTCAGGCTTAGGTCTTCGTGGTGGTTCAGCTATAAAAAAAAGCAATAAAAGTTCCACTGAATTCTTAGGCATTCTTTTGACCTTGAGAGCTTGATATACGCTTGCTTTTGTCCGTTTGTCCAGAGACTAAATACCAAGCCTAGATAATGCTGATGAGTAGCCAAACACCACGAAACAGCTGTCCATGGTTGGCTGTCTTTTTGCTCGTTTGTTTAGTTGTAAAATGTTTAGTTCATTCAATGGCAAGTAGACCGCATCTACTTTACAGCTAGCTACATCTAGCAGTCACGTGGTAACCTGGCGTATTAAACATGAGCTGAGATCCCAGTTCCAACTAACAGCAGCTATGCACTTTCCGCAGTGGTCGATTCTGGTGTGATAGATGGCGCTATGCGCTCTCTTATTACTATAATCATTGTTTAGTAAATAATGCGTGCGACGAGCAATTCTACAGATATGTACGTACTTACGTAGCAGTTACAGCGCTTCTGAATTATGAAGTCGAATTTGTCGAATTGGTTACCTCCATTTTATACTAAAAAATAATCAAAGTCCCACAATCAAAAGTAATAACATAACCTCAAAGATGTAAATTTTGACAGTAGGCTAGAGTGTTGCCAGATCAACCATGCTGAACTCTGTAGTCGTGACTCTTAAACAACGGTAGAACCAAAATATATAGCTATGGACATTCCAACCGGTAAAGTGATAAATTCTGAAAGTAAACAGTGGACATTTTAATTGATGATGACAGAAACAAAGGCGTTTGCGGTAGAACGGTAGCCGAAGAGTCAAAACAATCATGTACCGCTTTTACGGTAGATCTGGCATCTGTGCAAATGTGGCCTGTGCTGCCTCTTAAACAATGACGTGTTTTGGTTTCTGATTAGCGTTTTCAGTCACGTGACTCACAGTTTAAAAAACCTATTCAACTTAATTCGCGGATTTCCGTAACTCCTAAACCAATTCTTCTAAAATATGGTGTGCCATATGACGTGGAGTTATAGGAGAAATTAGCCTAGTTTTTTTATAAAACAGAAAATATCAAATCTTGATCTTCCTTATTTTATGAATTTGCAACATTTGTTATTGACGCCTGCATTAGCATTTTATCTTTTCAGAACCAAAATATTTAAACAAATGTAACCTCTATTTTTTAATGTTCATCCAACTTCTAATCATTTCAGCGAGTAAATCAAAAATGATTAGGTCGTTTCAAAAGTATCAGTTGAACAGCTTGTTTTTTTTTATTTAGTAATCTTTCCGACGCCCATGCTTGAGATATAATATTTCGCACTTCAACTCAGTGCTTGTTAAAAATTGTATGTCTGGAAGAATACAAGCTAACCTACTTTTTCAATCGAGGAAAACTGCTATAATAGAAATTGGTGACCCAATGCCCTACAAAGTGATCAATGTATTTACATAACGATGGACATGGACTTTATGAAAGATGTTTTTTATGTGTTTTAGGGAAACAATACATTTTTCACCATCTAATAAGTAGGAAAGCGTATTGGAAAGGAAGTGGGTAAAGATCGGCTTTTTCTCCCATAATATTCTCTTGAAAATTGTATGTTAGTTATACAGGGTGGCCCATAAGTCCTTTGAGCTGAAAAAAAAAGGAATAAAACCAAACTAGTTACATTATAAAGAATTATTATATTTTGTTATCATCTTTATTGAATGGGAATTATGTTTTAAAAATCACATCGTCTAAATGCAATCCATTACGATCACGGCACTCATATAAACGACGTCTCAAATTGTCGATGACTGCGCGGCAAGTCAACACTGTAATGCTTGCCATTTCTCTTCGGATATTTTCTTTCAGGACATCAACTGATCGCGGAGTGGTGTCGTACACTTTACTCTTGAGGTAGCCCCATAAAAAGAAGTCCATTGGGGTCAAATCTGGACTACGTGGTGGCCAGGAAATGTCTCCTCTTCGAGAAATTACTTTGCTGGGAAAAAGTTGACAGTCGACGGGCATAGAAGTGTTGGAGGTGTGGGCAGTTGCTCCGTCCTGTTGAAACCAGGTCTGCGTATTATAGCCTGGAAAATTCTGCAACGCTGGTGTCAAAAACTCTTCTATCATGGCTACATACCGCTCCGAAGTAACAGTTAATGCGCGACCTCTGTCGTCCTCAAAAAAATAAGGGCCTACGATGCCATGCGCTGACATAGCAGCCCAAACTGTAACTTTAGGGCTGTGTAAGGGCTTCTGATGCTTACGCCTTGGATTTTCGGGGCTCCAATAACGGCAATTTTGTTTATTTACATGCCCGTTTAAATGGAAGTGAGCCTCGTCCGAGAACAACACATTATTGAGCGAAGAAAATCGATTCAACATTTCATTCGCAAAGTTTAGTCTCTGAATAGCGTCATTATCTTTTAATTCCTGCACTAACTGAATTTTGTAAGCGTGCAGACGTAAATCTTTCCTTAAAATCCGCTGTAAAGATGTTCTGGGTACGTTTAGTGCACTGGAACGCTTACGAGTAGACTGGGTAGGATTTTGACGAACAGACTGTGCCACAATGTTGATGTTTTCTTCAATACGAGTTGTCCTTGGTCGACCCCACCGCTGTTTATCTAACGTCGAACCAGTCTCTTCGAACTTAGCAACCCAGTTCTTAATCGTTTGAGCTGTTGGACACTTTGTAAAATTGTGTAAATTGTGGTATTCTCGATATTTACGCCGCGCAATGGTTGCCGAATCATTATTTTGATAAAACGCGCGCACACAAAAAGCACGATCCGCTCCAGTGAAACACTCCATGGCGACTGAATTCCCAGACACTGAAGATACTGCCCGCGCCGCTCACGCTCACCCGTTAAATTTTATTCAAATTTGAAATTTCAAAGGACTTATGGACCACCCGTTATTAAATCCATGTATTTTTATTTACATCTAAAATCAATTAACACGAGAAAAAAATACCAGGTAGCAAAAAAAACCTGCTTTCCGATTTTACTAGTTTTATCTTTGAATAAGCAAATTTTCGATTATCAAACTAAAAGAATCTTATGCGAAGCATTAATTATGCCAAAATTACTTATAGCTTACAATCCACTTTTAGATACAATATCTCTTCACGTTTACAAAAAAATCTAAATTTATGTTGCAGACTAATAAATAATTTTACAAAATATGACCATATAGATAAGCCATTCTTCTGTGGTGGTTTACGGTGAGAGCGATACGAGTTACACCTGTTAACTTACACTCATATTCTCTTGCGTCGATTCCCTCGTTTCGAAATTGTTTTCACTCAATAGACATACGGTTTACTGAGATTCTCACAACACCTCGTCACAAAACCTCATTATTTCATAACGCGGTTGCACTTTATAATTACCTCAGGCGTTAAAGTCACTAAATTACAACGAATTTAAAAAACAAATCAAACAATTTATTTTAGAAAAGTACTCACTAGCATAGTTCGATCCATCACTTGGCAAAAGCTTTCCGTTTCAGTGTACATTCATATGTATAATTAAACTTTATCTACTGTGACTACAATATTATATACTTGGATATAATACTATTACATGTTTATAATTATTTTATCTTTTTTATACCTGTCAAAGTTTAAGTGGCAGAATAACATCAAGCTAAACTTCACCCTAAATAAAAGTCGTTTATTATTATTATTATTATTATTATTATTATTATTACTTGTTATATTCAATAGATTATCATTTTTACCAGTTTTTGTTTTTATTTTGAAAAATTCCTCTAGGCACTTTGTGCGTCATAATATTTTTTGTTGTTTTTTTTAAGATTAAAATAAATAAAATTACAAACTAGCTCTTATTTGTTTAAAAAGCTTCAAATAAAGAAAATTCGATTCGAATATAAAGATTTTTTATATGTTTTTTTTATTAATATATATGTGTACCATTTAAAGACACTTGAACTCCTTCGGAATTCAAAATGCTCTATATCATTAGTGTCGTAAAAACCTGTGATTCATGTCCATTAGTTTGTCTGTCATTTGTCTGACTATCCAGTAATCTTTGGCTTCCATAGAAATCGAACAATACACTTCCATGCTTAATGATGTTCGTTTCATGTTATGTGCTATAAGGCTAAAGAAAACCATGGAAAAGCACGTTGCAATTTGTAAGGTTGCCAAATTTCGATTTGGATGATTTGGAAAGCGGACCCAATAAATTTTCCGATAACTGCAAACCTCTGCCATTCTAAATTTACAGTTTCTCGAGCACATGAAAATTATTCCGTTTGAAATATGTGCGCTTTATTTCTGTCATTTTCAAAAAGTTTTGTAAAACATTTGACAATAGTAGCGAAGATTTGATGTTTTTGATAGCTATTTGATTGCAGACTATTAGGATAGTATTAGCCTGAACAAAATTGGCTTTCTAATAGCTAAAATAGATTATTTACATCTGTTTTACTTCCAATGCCAATTGGCGAGGAAGTGCTGTAATCTTCGTCACATTAGCCTTGATCGATTTCTTTTGAAGCTTATACTCGTATAGCAAAAGGTCTGAATTTAATCCGAACATAATATGATTGATGATAGAACTGGAAAAAAGTGAGTCATTTTTTGCTTCTGCTTCGGGAAAAGGCGAAAAATGTTTTCATTGTTTTCCGTTGGAGCATCAGAGAATAAAGATATTTTCCTCACATTTGACGGTAGTCTATCTTCCATGCCAGATCTTGTACATATCAAAAGTGAAAACACCTAAAATTCTTTTTGATGACATAGTATTCTTATTCCGTCAAAATAAGAATTGTATTTTCTCTTCTGATAAATAATCTGGCAGCATAACGTTTTGTAGGAGCTAAGAGCTATCTATGCCTGTGCCTATGTTCCATACCTGTTTTACTTATCTCGCTTAGGTATTTCTCTAGACGTGTTACGGTAATATTTGGATTCCGAATTGCACAAAACACGCCACATATCGTTTGCTAAATATTTTTCTATTTATTGCAGGCATCCAACATGCAGTAGGTGGGCTCGCCTCGAAACCTGAACGTGATCTGCTCATGCAGGATTTCATGACGGTCGAAACGACGAATTTTCCCAGCGAAGGGTCAAATCACACGCCGGCGCATCATTTTTCAGAGTTCAAGTTCAAAAATTACGCGCCCATCGCATTTAGATATTTTAGAGATCTGTTCGGTATACAACCTGACGATTTTCTGGTAAGTTACAGAAAACAATATAATACTGGCATCTTAGCCAATACATACAAAGTGTCCGTGCATGCGACTAAACCAGTGGCGTAGAAAATAAAAAATCTCTACCCTACAGAACCTTTTGAAACATTGCATTTTTCAATAAAATATTGAATTTTATATAAATGGAAAATATTTGTCAGACTACTCGGTTTAAAAAAAAATGGTTTTAATATTTGAGATGAAATCCATATAAAAAAGTTCAACGTGTTCCACATTGAAAAGAAGCTGAAGTTAGTGAAGTTTGACCTTGAGAAATGTATGTAATTTATTAGGAGATTAGTCCTATTTTAACAGAGTTATTTAAACAATGTTATGTTTTGTCTTTACTCATTCTTGTCAGTAGCGTAATCTGGTTAATACGACATTCTAGGACAAATATTTATATTTTTTGTTATTTGTAGATTTACCTTCTACCCCGGAAATATTTACGCGTTTTTCTAAATCATCTTCAATTTATTCAATAACACATTTGCATATTCAGGGGAGTTTTCAGTGTGTAATCAATCGATAGCACAGTTATAATAAAAGGTATTTGAGAAATTTATTTACAAAAATTAAAAGCAAATATAGGCTCTATACTTGGAAAAATACCGCCTTCTACAGGATGATTCATAACGACGTGGCAACAACATGCATTTTTTAAATGAACTCTATATCTTAGTTTATTCTGAAAATTCAGAAGATGAATAAGCTGATGTAGGGTACCATAGTATTTGGATCGCTACTTGTTGCGGCACACCTAATTGGGAAACATATGACATATTTCTAGTCCTCTAGCAACAGTCTTAAGCTTACGACCATCTTTAATAACAGCATTCAGCTGCCAGTTACAGAAGGTCAATTGAAACTCTGCCGGTTTTCCGTTTGTTGTTTCTCATCTTAGAACATTTTATTTTTATTCCTAATGTCTTACATTATGGGGCACGTTGTTCCGCGGCACAACTAGCCTCCCGCCAGAGGAATTTGAGCCCCAAATCCCAGTTCCTGAGTAACTTCCAAATTATAATAGGTTACGTTATCAAAAGCCAACAATGGTACTAAACAGATATTGGCTATAGTTTGCCCAACTGATAATAAGTTACACACAAATAGCACTAAAATTGATTGAAATAGGCCAAAAAGTTTAAGGAGAAAAAAATTTACTTACGTGCTGTTTACCTACCACTACTCGATTACCACTACACACGCCGCCACGCCATCACTAAAATGGCTGATGCAAGATGCAACATCGTGATAGTATGACGTTTCGCAACGCACTTCACACCTATTGCTATCTCTTTTTATCGCGGAGCTATTTGGATCAGAACAACCTACCCCCGGCTTCCCTACTAGCAGGTTGATGATTTCGATTTTCGTCAACTTGGTTAGCTCTGAATTTATCTTGTCAACCGGCTTGGTCGCCATGTTACATCAGTCATGGTGTAGTATTCCAAAATATACAGCGTAATCCACAAAAAAGTTGCCAAGCTGGTGTTGCCATGTAGTTATGAACCACCCTGAGGGGATCGACATGTTGTCTATATAGAGAGCGTATAGTTGCCTACAATTTTAGTAACTAAGTTTATCTTTTAAACTAACGGAGTTGAAGACCGATTATGTACTAAAAGCTAGCCACGTATATTTTAAAAATATATTATATTTTTATGAACAATTCAGCGATATAATTTGTATAACTAAACACTAAAAATAATCTTTGCAGGTATCCATGTGTAACTCTGGCCTTAGGGAGCTGTCGAATCCTGGTGCTAGTGGTTCTATATTCTATGTAACTACCGATGATGAATTTATTATTAAGACTGTACAGCATAAAGAAGGGGAGTTCTTACAAAAATTATTGCCAGGTAAGATGGTTATACTACTTTGTCAAAACACATTTGGTATTCAAGCTGAAGAGCTATGAAGATGTTTTTGTTAAAGATTGTTACCCCTCTTAATTTATCAGAAACAACGATCACACGTTGAAATATTTGCTTCCTACTAACAAAATGTAAGAAAAGATGGATAGTCCCTGGATAAAACAATTGTATTTATTCAATTCCACCCTGTACATCAATCTGCATACCAGGGCAACATGCTTTTTTATCTAGGAATGTTATCTTCTTAGATATAACTTAAAGTTCAGACATCATTGACAATTTTATAACTATCTTGATAGATGAGAAGATTAGAATAATCATTGAACTTTACGTAAAATATTCGAGCTTTAATCAAACAATGAAGATTGATTATTGTAAAGGGTGTCCCATAATCAACGCAAGATTTGAATTTGCCGCCATGTTTGCAGTAAATTGTAGGCATCTCTAAAAAAGGAACAATTTGACAGCTGAGAGGTTAGGGTTAATTTCATCAAAATCCTGATAGTACTTTCAGGATTATCATTTATTTAATCTTTTTCGTTAGTTATGAAATGCAAGTCAATATATTTCTAAACTAGTCTTGCATTGCAACAGGACATTATAATGAAACAGCTGTTTACCAAAATGCATATCCTTAGGCCAGCCATTTTTTTTTTTTTTCATATCGAAACAGCCGCGCAGGCAGAAGCCTAAATGCCGGAACACCGCGGCTGCTATGATGATCCCAAAGAAATTTTGTTAATAGGATTTTTGAACTGCCTAAGGTTAGTAGAACTGGGAAAAGCTTCCTCCCGTAGATTGTTCCACAATCTAGACACCCTCGGGACAAAGGAGCGGTCGTATCGGCCAGTTCTGGATGTACGAAGTTTGACACGGTTAGGATGGGACGCCGAAGTCGGGTCTGTCTTGCAGGCACATCGCTCGGCGGCATCATGGAAGAGAGCTCTGAGGAGCAAAGCCCGTTGGTGTAGCGATAGAAAAGAGTTAGATCGCCGACGGCCCGCCGGTGCGAAAGAGTCCCGAGACTGTCTGTTAGAGAAGAGTCATCGATCAGTCGGACCGCCCTCCTCTGGACAGCATCGAGCATGGACAATGTAGTCGGGGCGGCAGCACCCCAAATGTGTGAGCAATACTCGAGGCTAGGCCTTATCTGGGCCTTGTATAGAGTGAGAAGGTCATGCGGAGAAAAGTACTTCTTAGCCCTAAACAAATAGCCTAGCTTTTTCCCAGCAGCTGCAGCTATTGAAGAGATGTGTTCGTGCCAGATCAGGTCCTCGGTGATCTGGACTCCGACCAGCCGAAATGAATGGCTCTTTGGTAGAACTCGACCGTCCATCGAAACTGTATGAGCGCTATGACGCTTTTTGTTCGTCAAAGTACAGTACTGTGTTTTGGAAGCATTGAACTGTACAAGATTGTTGCGTCCCCAAGCAGTGATAGCCTCCAGGTCTCTTGTCAAAGAAGAAGTCGTCGCTAGTCTTCTTTTTTCCAGCTCAGCGGCAGAGATCGGCTTGTCACTCTGAATCCCTGCATGCAGAGTGCTGTCATCAGCGAAGCTGTGGATTGGGTTGATCGTGCAGGAATGGAGGTCGTTGATATGTAAGAGAAACAGTGTTGGAGCCAAGACCGACCCCTGGGGAACACCCGCGTTGACGTTGTGGGATGAAGAGGAGAATCCGTCAATTACGACGGATATCTTGCGGCCAGAGATAAAGTCAGCCACCCATCTGCAAAGCTTTTCTGGGAGGCCGTAGGATGGAAGTTTGCTCAAGAGGGCAGCGTGCCACAGCTGATCGAACGCTTTCGTGATGTCAAGAGCAACGACATGAGCCTCACCATGAGACTGGATGAGTTTACTCCACAGTTGCGTGACGTAAGCTAGGAGGTCCCCTGTGGATCGTTGGTGCCGGAAACCGTACTGCCTGTCGCTAATCAAGCTGTGACGTTCGAGGTAGTCCAGAAGCTCGCGATTTATGCACCTCTCCATCACTTTACTTATAACAGAAAGCAGAGCTATAGGCCTGTAGTTGTAAGGGTCGGTTTTACATCCTTTTTTGGGATGGGCTGTACATGAGCAAATTTCCAGTTTTCTGGGAAGGTGCCGGATTCATGAATCACCTGCGAAACGTACAAATATTATCAATATGAAAAAAGTGTAGTTATGGCAGCCTATGCTTTGTATGTATACTAATTTAATTCATTCTTCTCGAAAGTTAGTTACGGAACATACGTATTATGAATAGGAAGCAATTCCAATCCAAATACTTCCCACATACCACTACTTCACCACAATCACAGCAAACAAGAAATAATGTTTTTCGCCGCTACTGGTTATAGCCTAAAACCATCAAACACCTGACATCTCGTGTGGGAGCGTAACGAACTATGCTTCCAACGTTGTAACGTCCTTTGACGCGGGTCAGATTTACCGAGCCCAAACGTTCCATGTGGCGAACGTTGGACACATGCAGTCCGTCAGTGCTCTCCCGCACGATGTGGCGAATGGCCATGTGTCCAACGTTGTAAGGCATTCGCTACATCGTGTCTGAGCGGTCTTAGTAAAAATGGAGCGTTTATACGATACAACAACAATCAAATCCAAGCGAATTACCAAAATGTCTGTGTTATGTACCGTGGTTATAATATGGTTTAAGATGACACACGGGTTGATGACGTCAGTTACTCGAATCGCTTGAACGCGTTGGTTTCAACCGCGGTTTTGTTGCAAGTTTTTTATTTTAGAAAAGCGCGTATATAATTTCTAATTATTTTTATTATCACTTAATAAACGGTGCTTTTTCGTCTACAACTTAACTTTGTTAAGCATAGGAACTAGATTTAAAGTGTCCCCAACAATAGTATTGAATATAACTAATAAGGTGCTCTACTTTATGCTACAACTGAAGTGAGCCTGTATCAAGTTTCCCAAGAAAGAAGCTAAAGTACAACGAAAATATCCAATAGACAGCAAAATTCTAACTTGTCACATTTCCAATAATAACCAGAAATATAAAACTACTCCTGAGTTGGGTAAATACCACAATTTTGCGGTGATAACTATGACATATAACAGCTGATTCATGACGTCTCGGATCTTATAACCAAACTGATAACCACACTCGCTTGAATGGATCGGTAAATATCAGTCCAAAATGGTAAATACCATTTTCATTTGGTTATTTGCTTGAATTTGATTAATGCGTTTTCATTATTGAACGATAAAAATCAAACTTTAGCGTCCGCAGTCCGAAATTTTATACAAAATGGCCGGAATAGGGTTTTAACCTCGTCAATCGTGAAAAGATTAATTGAAAAATTCAGGGAGACTGGATCAGTCGGACACGCTAAATACACCGGTCGTCCAAAAAAAATCGTATAAATGTTCATATCGAAGCAGTGCGTGGTAGTGTAAAAACCAGAAACGTCAATTGGTCGTCGTTGACAAGAATTGCAAATTTCAAGAATCTCTCTACAGCGGATACTCGCAAACGGTGTCTCCATACTTACAAAACTCAATCAACACAACAACTGAAGCCTAATGACCATGAACAGCGAAGAGAGTTCATGGAATGGATTATTGAACATCAACAAGTGGATGCAGATTTTTCGAGCAAAATCATCCTAAGCGATGAAACACATGTTCACCTTGATGGCTTTGTTAATCGCTAAAATTGCCGTATTTGAGGTTCGAAGAACCCACGAGTGATTGTCGAGAATCAAAAGCTCCCACAACGTGTCACTGTTTGGTGCGGATTTTGGGCTCGAGGCATCATTGGACCATACTTTTTTGAGAATGAGGCAGGTGAAGCAGTAACTGTTCTTTCTGTCGAAATTGTATGCTATAGATGTGTCCAATATGTGGTTTAAACGAGACAGTGTCACATGCCATACAGCCAGTGAAATAATTTAATTACTGCATGAGACATTTCCTGGTCGTGTACTTTCCCGTTTCGGTGATCAGAATTGGCCCTCTAGATCGTGTGATTTAACAGCATTAGATTTCTTCTTATGGGGTTATTTAAAGTCAAAGGTCTATGTCAATAAGCCCACAACCACCCATGCATTACAACTGGAAATTGAACGAAACGAAATTCAGCCACCATCATGCAGAAAGGTCAAGAAAGCGTATGTGCCAGCAAAGCTGTGGGGGTCATTCGCCTGATCTGATATTCCATACATATCCCTAACCTAAGTACTTTATGGTTCAATAAAAAATAACAGTCTAGAGACTTAAAACTGTATTTTATATTTAATTCAAAACTTGCGTTCATTTTGGGACACCCTTTATTAAATTATATCATGAACATGATTAAAGTATTTGGAATCAAGATGATATTTTCTCGGTTTTTACTGATTGATTATATTTTAGATTCTAATCAAAAGAAAAATTTGAGTAAATTATACACGTATACTTATAGAAATTGTGAAACTAGTCATTCCTCTTCAACTCTTAGGCCCGATTTTACTAAGCCGGTGCACAAAAAAGCACGTGTTTCACAAATTTAAGCAATGAGAAAGCGTCTTTGGAGTAATGGATCTAATGGATATGGCCGATTTCTTGTGAAACGTCTTTAATACCAGAGAATAATAATTATACGGTTTGTGTAGGATGGGCGTCTAAATCCCATATTAAATCAAGAAATACGTCATGAATCACTTGGTTTAACTAAAAAACCCTACTTTTTCATTTGAGCCCGCACACTAAATTAGCGGCCATGGTCATAAACACCAAATAAATAAAATTACAGAATTCTTATTATTTAACAGACATCGAGTAAATATTCAATTGACTTTGACTAGCGTGCGAAAAACCCTGTTCTTTAAGCACGGAGCGCCCTCTACTTATAGCTTTGCAACCGTGGCGCGGCGTGGTCGCGTAGTTGTAATACCGTCCAGTAGAGTGCGGGACAACTCCTTGTTAACCGTAACAGGGCTGGTTTCAGGATCAGGGTTTTTTGCACTGATTATTTTACTCGAAGTTTGTTGAAAAATAAGCATTCTGTGATTTTATTTATGTCTTTGTACAGCAACAATGAGACACAAATACTTTTAATAAAATGCTTAGTAATGGCGTCATGTCATAGGTTTTTGTAGCTGAATGATGTGATATATAAAGTATTTCTTGATTTAAGATGATAATTAGGAGCCCATTTACAAGAAGTCGACCAAATTCATTAGATCTATTAGTTCAAATACGCCTTCTCATTGGTCCAATTTGTGTCAAGGCACAAATTTTGATTCTTGGCGGTCAATAGTAAAATCGGGCCTTAGTCTCTTTCTCACTGTTTGTTACTATTTTCAGGTTATTATATGAACTTGAACCAAAATCCTAGGACGTTACTTCCAAAGTTCTTCGGACTGTATTGTTATCAATGTAATAGTAAAAATGTAAGACTGGTTGTTATGAATAATTTATTACCTAGTAGCGTGAAAATGCACCAAAAGTATGATCTTAAAGGAAGTACATATAAAAGAAAGGTAAATATTATGTTTTCATAGGGTGGCCAATATATACTCGTAACTAACTGGTTTAAATTGCGCGCCATTTTTGATACAGTAGTAGGTGTTTAACGCATCTGTATCCAATTCATAATAGAGCGCTACACGATCCCACAACGCGTCCGTATTGTTAAGACGTTTTACTTACATAATGAGTCGATTATTACAGTTGGTGCGGAAATTTGAACAAACAAGTGAAGTTAAGGGCTTGAAAAGGTATGGCCGTGTTCGAATTGTTCGTACCCCGGAAAATACCGAGAGAGCTCGTGAAAGTGTAGTGCAGCGCTCTGAGACGTCTACCAGACATCGTTCTCAAGAACTGGATATACGTCGCACGTTATTATGCACTATTTAAAAAAAAACTTACATTTGCGGCCATACAAAATTCGGTTAACCCAAGAACTACGGCCTAGTGACCATGAAAGCCGCCGATAATACATCATGCATCATGCATTATTGCAGCAAATAACGATTTTTACCGACAACTGATAATGGGCGATGGAGCTCACTTCGATATGAACGGATTTGTTAATAAGCAGAATTGTCGTATCTGGGCATTAGAGAACCATCGTATCAACCATCAACGACGACTACATCTTCGTCGAGTCACAGTTTGGTGTGGTTTTTGGTATGGAGGTGTCATTGGACCATACTTCTTTGAAGACGCTACAGGTAATTCTCTTACTGTCACTGGCGAGCGCAACAGTGATATGGAGTAAGACTCTCTGGCTCCTCAAATCCAACAATTTAACCTGTAAAACATGTGGTTCCAGTAGGACGGAGCAACTTTTCACACAGCTAAGTAAACAGTGAATCTTTTGCAAACAATATTTCCGGGAAGTTTAATTTCTCGATTTGGTTATCTCAACTGGCCACCGAGGTCACCGGATTTAACGGCTCCTGTCTTTTTATGGGGATTTTTGATAAATAGGATTTATGCCAATAAACCAAATACTGTAGAGCAGTGGAAGAACAATATTACGGAAGAGATTAAAAATATTCCTCCCTTAACCTACCAAAAAGTGATGGAAAATGTAATCAAGAGGGCTCAGATTTGCGCGGCTTCTAGGGGCGGACATTTGATATTATTTTTCATACATACTTTCTAAGTTTCAATAAAAGATTAAGATGAAAAAAATGGACGTATTTTATTTCATTTCACAAGTATTCAAGACACAAACCAGTCAGTTACATATCGGCCACGCTGTACATATAAAACCTAAGATATAATAATATAAAATATTCAGTCATTGGCTTGTGACCAGAGTCGGTGGATCGCACATAGTGGCTCGACTTTGTGACAGATTCGTCGCCAAGTTTGGCGATGTCTAAAGTGTAGAACTATAGCTATAGCTTGTCAGCAGTAATCGTCACTTGTCACGACCTGTGAATGTTGGTACCATACAAAATATTTTTTGAGTATAAAAATGCGCGGTTGTTGTGAATTTTTGCAAGAAGGTGGTGGAAGCATAGTAGTAGCGACTGTAGACAGTCAACGAAGTTTATAGAAGATAAGCGCCAAACGCTGTAGCTATGGCAAACGTAAAAAGTCACAATCTTTTGGTTGGAATTTACACAGGTCACTGCAGATTGAGCAGACATATGTCCTTCATGGGAATAGAAAAAGATTTTCTGCTCCAAATGCTGAGAAGAGAATGGAAAACCTAGTTCCACCTTCTATGGAACTGTATGACAATGTTTAATAAGAATCAGGCAGCCTGTAAAAAGGCTCAAGGTGGCCCAGTTGTTAGGCTTGGCCTACCCACAGTAATAATACTACTACCACCAATCTAATTACTGCAAAACCTGCTGAGCTTACGCTGTAGCTATCGGGATATTGTACCACTTTTGGGCTATCATTTTTTACTGTTTACAGGCCTCGAAAGCAGAGCGACAGAAAAACTCACCGACATTTAAAGATCTAGATTTTATAGAGGATCATCCAGAAGGTGTCTTTATGGAGGCCGATACTTACAATGCACTAGTTAAAACGATTCAAAGAGACTGTAGAGTATTAGAAAGCTTTAAAATTATGGATTATAGTTTATTGTTAGCTATTCATAATTTGGATCAAGCTCAAAGGGAAAAAATGGTAAGCAATATGATTAAATTAGGTATTAGTATAAACTCCAAATACTAAGAATCCATCCAGCTTACTGCTGTATTATACTCCAACCACCACTAAGGCCTAAACACCCATGAGGTACCCTGGAGCTACAGGGGGATACAGGGAAAAGGTGCGAGAATGCTGCACGGACTCTAGCAAGGGAACACGTGTGCATGCAACATGCACACATTTTGGCCCCAGCTACGATATCCGCCGGGTGGTGCCTCCGCGTTCGACAGCCAGTGACCATCTACCCCATACGGGCAATCCCAACATCCATAGCCAAGAAAGAAATTCTCTTGGAAAGAAATTCCAAACTGCGCAGCGCACGGCGACTGATTTGTAGACCCATAACATTTCCTTACGCCACTGCTGCTGCCTAAATATATAAATAATTATTATTGTTCCGAAAGGTTTGCACACAATCACAGGAAAACATTAAGGAATACAGTAACAATTTGTCATGCTATTAAAAATAAATAGTTGCACTATATCAAAGTAAGAGTAATAAATTTAACAAGAGGGTACATAAAAATCATAATTAAAATAGACAGATAAGATATCCCAGTTAGATAAAAACTGTAATAAAAGGGTTGAAGATGTCACATTCTGTTCATTATCATGTAATTTCTTTTAAAACTCCCTAAGACCACCTGCAAATCATCAAATCTGATGTCACATTCTTGGCAATGCTTATAAAAACTATTGCATATTCTATTCATTGGAGACAAGTACGCTATATTGCTCTACCAGTTGAAGTGTAAAAAGTCGAAGTGACGCGTGTGATTTTTGAAGGCACTGAAAAATCAATTTTTACTAGTAAGTCCGCACGGTCTAATCCATTATTAACTGTATTATACAGAGTTGCAATATTCTTAGTATAGCGACGGTAGAGTATCAAAATTCATCCTTTCAATGAAGATGGCATGAGGAAAACGTCTTTCAGGATAAACACCATAAACTTTGTAATGCATATATTTTAAGCTTCTACGCTGATAGAATGGAAACCAAATAATTACTCCATACTCAAAATTAAAACTTTCTGTATATTTTTACATCATTAAATAGCCTTTTTGGTGAACTTTCTGTTGACAAAAGGTTTATACCACTGAATAAATTTTAGCACCTTTTTCAGATCAGTTTAAAATTGATACAAAAATTATGTGAACTAAAATTTAAGTATCTTTAAAAATGACGGAGTTGCAAGCGGTCAATGTTGACATTGGATCAAATATCTGAACAATTGACTATGGAAACCATTTGCTATCAAACTTCTTAGTAGGGGTTCTATCCAAATATGCAATCAAAAACAGGGTGTTCTATTTAAAGGAACATATTTTGGCCATGCAGAAATTAAAATAATTTTGAAATATGCACAGTTTTCCATATCTTTTTCAATTTGCTCATAAAACTGCAGTCCATTTTCGTTGGGTAACTATGTAATCGGGTCATATCCTACAATATGGTCATAGCAAGAGGCGCATATTGCTACAAAAATATTGCTTGTTTAGATGTTTCATTTAGAGAAGTCCGGATGCTTCCGAGAATCGATGAGTAAGCTTTTTTTTCTCAGCAGGTGTTGCAACTGGCGAGACATGTTATCGATAGAACACATTTTTCGCGTAGCGTCCAGAACTTATCCGTCTTCTTTGATTGTACGGGATGATGATCAACTTGGCAAACCATTGGATGGTGGAGCTACAGTATATTCAGATAAGAGATAGACCGGACATAAACAAGACCACGTGATCATCGAACACTGTAACATTCGGCAGGGACGTATTAAGAGTCACGCAGTACATATTTTAGATAGTAGATGCTGCTTTGCGTAACTTTGTAGTAAATTAGCACAATTCGATGTGTATACGATTGGTGATGGATATAGGATCATGTGGGGGTGGGGTAAGAAATATATAATGATGTAAATATACGTAAGGGTTTCAAAATTTTCGCTTCGATTTCCAGCTTCGGATGCCGCCTGATGTTTGGTGAAATACAGTCGAATATAATCTCAAAATGGCGTTTAAATTAGCCTAAATTAAAAATAATCGTATATCTCTTAAAATTGCTTTTAGAATATTGATTAGTATATTTTTTGATTTCTAGGTAAATATGTAACCAAATTAAAACGTTCAAAACGTAAAAAAATGTGCATGGTTGAACATTGTCAGAAAGTAGATTCTTGAATAGGTTTTGCCAAAATAGGTTCAAAAATGTCAATAATTAATTAAAAAATACAGTAGCTTTATAATTACTTATAACTTACCGAATTTGATGAACGACATCTTTTATTGGAAAGATGAGCTTGATGAGCTTTCATCATCGCTACTGCCTGAAGCACCAACGTCAATAATGAATGGCTCGACTTGTTCCTCTAAAATATTGTCCAGTTCCCACATTCTCTTTTCAACTTTGTCTTTCACGTGCTTAATACAGTTTTCCCATTTTTGCGCTGTTATTAATTCTAGTGCTTCTTTGAAAAGTCCTTTGAGGTCACAAAATTTAAAAGTTTTATTGTGCTTAGCTATATAATTTTTAACCTCTGCCCATATGAGCTCAATGGGATTGAGCTCGCAATGGTATGGAGGTAAACGGAGCACAGTTTTATTTTGACTTGCTGCCATTTCGTCAATGGCGTATTTTTGATATTCCGCCTTGTGATCCTTGACAATTCTTAATAATTGTACTTCCAGCATTGCTTCTTCAAAGTTGATATTTTTCGAGCGGAGCCAATTTTGAACATCAACTTTCCTTGAAGCCGTTGTTGGGACCTTCTCCATTCTTCGAGAATGATAAGGCGCATTATCCAACACAATTACTGCGTTTTCCTCTAAGTTCGGTAAAATTTTTGAAAACCACTGTTCAAACGATTCGCCATTCATTTCCTCGTGGTAATCTCCAGTTTTCTTAGACTCAAAGCACCACAGACCGTCAACAACAAATCCATCCTCACTGCCAATATGGCAGATAATGAGCCTTTTCCCTTTACCTGGAAATCGAAGTACTAACTGGTGTAGATTTATTTCAATAAGCGAACCTTTTTCAAATGTTTTCATCACATTCAGCGAAAAAACATTGAGACATGAGTATCAGATTGCTATAATTGGGATTATTTGGTCATATTGAAAGAAAGAATATTGAACGTCGTATGATTACTCAGCGCTTCACAATTTAATTTAAAGTTATAAACCTTTAAAAAATGAATGATCAGGAACCTGAAATACGCGCAAATATTAATATTAACAAATTATAACTTTATAAAGCTTAAAGTATGAATTAAAATGATTAGAAATATTAGGAACGGTACACAATATAAAACTTAGTAACTTTTTTTAAGTTTATAATATTCGAAATATTTTAAGATTATATTAAAAAATTATTGAAATATCGAAAACACATAAAAACATGGCTTAAAAAGTTCTAACAAATGAAAATGACAACAAAACATCCACGCATTTTATCGAAAGCTATAAAAGTTTTGTTACTTGTAATATGTTTTATTTGCCCCCTGGAATTAATGTTTAGAACCTTGTTCCCAAGGTTTGAAAAACATCCGATTGTTGTCTATTACTCGTATTTACCTGCTGGATTTTTTAATCCGGTGGACAGTCCATCTAGAAAGGCCCTCCTGGATGAAGTTACAGAATCATCAACCCATACTTTACTTGTAGTGCCTCCTGCGTTTACCCACGTTTCATCAAGGTAATAAATCTTCCTGTTTTGATTTCTATATTTCCCAATTTTTGTTAAATAATCCCTCCTCCATAGCACAATTTCTTCTCTATCCAGTAGTAAACTATTACGACCCCGTTTTTTCCATTTGAAATTTAAATGCTTCAGTAACGCATGGAAAGTTGATCGTTTGAAATTTGGCAACGTTGTATCTCCATTTACCTCCTGCCGTACTTTATCTATAGTAGGTATTTCATTCCTAAAGAAGAATTCATGCACTTTCCTCCTAATCGCATGCTTATCAGCTTCATCCAATGATTTAACAATACTTTTGCGATGTTTACTGGTCATTGGCTCAGAAAAGGTGTGATTTTTTTTGTATTGTCTTAACACATTAAACACTGATGCGCGACACACCCCAACTTTGTGAGAAACCTTCACAACAATTTCTTTGATGGTTGATGCCTCGTTCTCCTCGCGCTCGATCTTATATATATTCAAAATGACCTCTTTCATTTCTGCACTCAGGTGTCTTTTTTTAGAGCGTTTCCTAGGTGGACTACAGGAGTGTACAACTTCATCGGCAGTATCTGTACTACTGGGCATTTTGCGCAAGCAGTTGATAACAATAACAATCAATAACAAGGTATAACAATAACAACGACAAACTCAACAACTTACTAAGATAACAAACGAAAACGTCCAAAGAAATATCAAATTGCAATGATGCACACCACATACGTAACACGTCGGAACCTGAATGTGACTCTGCCTTGATACGACTGCTCTGCCGCTCGGCATAGGCATTTAATTGCGAATTGACCAATGACATCCGGTCTATCTCTTATCTGAATATACTGTAGTTAGTTTTTTCGCCTAGATCCGCACAAGCTTATAGTCATGATACCTATACAGATCAGGTTATCATATGATGAGATGCACCTGTGGACATCATCATAATTAGCAAGCGATTTAACTAGACTTTACGTCCTTGAGATATGTTCACACTTTTTCCTTTTTGAGCTCCCTTTTTAATATATCTTGCAGGAGAAGAAATCTCAGAGTGACCTGACCGCCCATGCGACCGGTGGGGCGGGCGGGGATAGCGGTAGTGGTGGGGAGGACGTTGACCCGTCAGCGACCTTGATCAGGGAGGAGAGGGATAGAGAGAGGGATGACAGAGTGGGAGCGGCGGCGTTGAACAGGAGCAGGTCGATCAACAGGCAACGACTCGTGGCGCACTCTACGGCACTGGAGAGCATTCAAGCGGAGTCTGAACCGATTGATGAGGATGACGATACGCCGTAAGTATCAAGGCATAATTGTTGGGACTTCCTGGAATCGACACACTGTGTCATGTTACTTTAAGCATGGATGAATTTGGACTGGTTACGACTAACCTTCATTAGTGACGATGGCACCTCAAACAGAATCTCATGTTTGAGTCCTTTTTTATCTCCACTCCGTCGTTCTTATATCTCGTTTCATTTCTTCTTGGTTCTTTTCTTCCTCTAACTTCATTTTCCTTCTGGCTTACGAGGCTACAGTGCGAGCTGCCTGTCTTTATTCACAGAATATATCACTTTTGAAAGACTCGAGTGGAGCGTGGGTGGATGTCATTCAACTGTATCGACCAAAAAAATTACAAGCCGTGAAAAAATCAACATTGGCAGAAGCAAGAGTAAGAAAGTAAGATAAAAATATCTGACTTGCTCTTTTTTGTACATGATGACCTATCAGAAATGCTTCAAAAAATACCATAACTTAAATATGTGAAGAAAATGATACTGGGCCAAGAGGGCCCTAATACATTTTCTTTCATTGAGATTCATAGTGTCCAGGTTTGTGTCTCGAAACATATTTCTGTGTTGCTCAAGCTGTTTTTTCTTTTTTTTTTTTTTTTTTTTTTTTTTGGTAGCAACATGAAATCTGGGAATCGGAGATTTCTGAGGATGATTATATTATATCTTGCAACACAGCATGCAGAAGGAAAAAGTATCAGCTGATAAAATTGTTGTTTCATGCCAAACTCATTTTAGAGTTGAGAGAAGTGAGAAAGATGTTCTACCTGTATTATTGAAAAAGCCGTTTTCAAGATATTTGCATTTACACGTTATAGCACATAGTCAGATAGCTGGCCCAAAAACAGTTCTTTAAGAACGAAATATTTTGTGGACGAAACATGAATATGGTCTTGGATATATTACATAGATACATACAAACACACTTTCGCATTTATAATATTAGGGGTCCGTCAGAAAGAACGCATATCTTTTAAATGAGTAGTACAGTCAAAATAAGTATGAGAAAAATATTTTATTATATCAAAATATTCAGAAATACATGCCACTTTTTGAGTAAAACAAAATGTACGTTCTAAAAACTATGTCGGCCATATGGCGCCCTTGAGCCGAAATGCAGGAATCAAGCCTCTCCCGAAATGAGTCCATTGCGTCGGCCAGCATCCGTGCAGGAATTTGGGGTACTTCTCTTATTTCTTCCTTCAAATCGACGAGGGTCCGAGGCTTGCTTTGGTAAACTTTTGATTTCAGGTTACCGAGTACAGTGAACACACGATGCTCAACGTTCCAAACTTCTCCCACTATCCAACACGCCCTTCCCCACCGATACGGGACCAGCCCACTCGATGTAGTACCCATTCGAAAAACATGCGTTCCTTCTGAAGGACCCTGTAGGTACTCCCCATATACAGATTTTGTAGAATACCTTTATTTTCACCAGTTTAATCTGGGATTATTTTTGGTTCATTCATTACGGGCCACTCTGAAAATCCAAGAAACAGTTCAATCATCCTGAGACACCAAATATTTTCTCTGTAGGTTGACTAGTAGACTGTTGCTTTCAAATATTTTCATTTGTTGTTACAGCCCTGGTGGAATCCCAGCAAGAAACGCAAAAGGAGAAAGGCTGTTGTTATTTATTGGAATCATAGATATTCTCCAAAGTTATAGGTTAAGGAAAAAGTTAGAACATACGTGGAAATCCATGATTCACGACGGTGTAAGTAATTTCTTATACAGGGTGTTACAGAAAAACGTGACATTATTTCCTGGGCGTAAAGCAGATCAAAAATTAACACGATATTATAAACATTGTCCTGAAATTCCCCCTTACCGATATTCATGATGAAATTATAATTTTGAAACGAAAATGATTTCTGAGTGGATTAAGATAACTTAAAATATTCTACTTTTAGTACTGACATCATAGTCAATAGATACATAAATGTTTATGCCTTAGATTATATCAATGACATAGAAATTGGGAAATGTTTACTGCTGGAAATTTCAGACTACTTTTGGAGAAAAATTGGTTTGAATATTTGAGTTGAAATTAACATAAAAAACGTCAATCCTTTCTACTTTGAAGATACGCTGAAATTAATGAAACTGGACGTTGAAGAATGAATGTAGCGAGTATATGAGGAGACTAATTTTAACTTGCTTTTGAGTTATTTGGATAATGATAATGCTTTGTCCTTATTCGATCTCATTAGTGGTGTATAAATTAGGACTCATTCTTATAGGACCTTTTTTGCTATTTTTTTGGATGTCCTTTCTACCCCAGAAATATTGCCACGTGATTCTGAAACATCCTGTATACTTCGATATGACCTCTATGAGGGTTGATTCCGATGCTTTGCCCTGATACCAGTGCAATAAAGCCCATTTAATTAACATGTTTCGTTTTTATACTCGGACCCTTTGAACATCAATGCTCTTGTTTAAACGATGCTTTAGCATTTTATTGCTTACTTGAACTGGCGAAAGTGGCGTATTGGCCACTTGTTAACCTTCCTCGAGTATTTTCAAGGGCGACTTCCAATTTTGACATTAAGTTTGCATATATACCAACTAACTACACAAACATAAATTGACTGTTTTAAAAAATATATAATAAGCTATTTTACATCGGAATTATATTCTTGGGGGTATATACAACGGCCCCTCATCAAGAGGTACTAAAAAATGTTGATTCCTAATTTTTTTATTAAACGTCCAAGTTGGAAAAAACACATTTTCGCGTATATTTAAATAGTTATGAATCACTCGTGTAAGTGGTTCATAAAAAGTTGTAGGGAATGACTTAACTTGAAAATAAAACCATACACGCCAATTTGTTGAAACGGTTAATTTGGTATTACAAAAAAATGCCAAAAATCGTTGATATCTACATTTATTTTGTAGTGGAAAGTGCATAACTGTACATCTGAAATAATAGCCAATAGAGTGGTGCTTAACATTTAAAAAACCATTTGACGATGTTCAACCGTTCCTGCAATGTTCTGATTGTTACTATTTTATTTTTTATTATTAAAAAACTTGTTTTCCTTGCTGTGGGGATACTAAATTAGCGGCCATGGTCATAAAATGCACCGATGAAAAAGAAGCATTTGACCCAAACTCGAAGCATGGACACAAATCTGATACAAAATCTGAATTGATATAACAGCAATTAAATGGGCATTTTATTGAAAATAACAGTGTCCCACTCTTGCTGTACAAAATTCTGCTTGCTAAATTCTTCTAGGACATAAATAAAATTACAGAATACTCTTATTCTTTAACAAACATCGAGTAAATATTTAATTTACTTGACCGCCGTGCGAAAAACCCAGTTCCTTAAGCCAACCCTATTAACAGGGAGCTCTCACACCCGCTACTAGGCAGTATACGACCACTTCTGGCTTTTAGGGTTTCTGTTAACAGAGAGATGTCGCGCACTCTACGGAAGGACGACTACGTGACCACGCCGCGCCGAGGTTGCCAAGACTAGAAGTAGTTATCCTGCTACCCAGTAGAGGGCGCAAGAGCTCCCTGTTAACAGGACTGGCTTGAAGAACGGGACTTTTAGTAGGGCAGTGAAGTAAATTGAATATTTACTCATTGTTTGTTGAAGAAAGAGCATTCTGTAATTTTATTTGTCTTCAAAGAATTTATTGATCCGAACTTTGTAGAGTAACAGTGGGACACTGTTATTTTCAATAAACTACTAAGTAGTGTGGTGATTTCAATCTATTTATCAGTCATGATCCATGTTCCGAATAGGCCGTACATTTTTCTTTTTGATTGGTGGAATTTGCGTCAACTTTTGTGTCCAGACACAAGTGAAAAATAGGTTTTTGTGGCTGCATGATCATGATGATGATATATGTATGAAATATTCCTGGATTTAATATGAGAATTATTAGCCCATCTTACACAAATCGTATAATTTTTTCTATTTTGAGAGACAAATTTAAACGTTACTTCAGATACGCCTGCGCATTGATCCAATTTGTGCCAAAGGCGCAAATTTTTAATTTCCGCCGGTCAATAGTAAAATCGGACCTTAATGTTTATGACTAATGTTACTGAGGTTTCTTTGAGAAAAAAATATTTTGGCCCCAGAAGATTAAAAAAAGAACCTGTTTTCGTTAGATAGTGCTTTTTTGATGAACTTTTCAGTGGTGAGCTTTTTAATTACAACTGTCAAAAAACAACAGATGTACTCTAATTGTTTATAAGGCGAAAACAGATGTACTTTTGTCGATGCCTTTTTGCATAGTTAGTATAAGAAAATCTAGCATCTCTGTTAATACGATATTAAACTTAGTCTCTAGCAAGAGAATGAGCTCAATATAAGGCAATTTGATTGATCCAAAGACGCTGAAAAACTCGTCAAAAAACTACATTTTTCTCAAAAAATAGTAACGATAATTGTTACTAATTTTTAGAAATGTTCAGAAACGATTGAGCATTTTTGAATGAAATCTGAGGTGTTAAATACCACACAGGTTTTTAGTTCTGGCTGTTATTTGGCAGCCTCCAAATTCTAGATATAGTGGTCTAATAATATGTCTCTGCAATACTACACATTCGTCTTGCAACCCTTTCATTAACTTTTTCATTGTTTTGGACAGTCGTTTTTTCTCGTTTAATCACAACACCAACACAATGTTCAACTATATCATAAAAAAACTACCGTTCCTCCAACAGTCGCCACAATGTTTTGATGATTGTGAGCGGGTTCCAAACCCTTTTATTACGGCTGTCTTCTTAACAGGATCCAGATCTATTAAAATCCTTGTCACACATGAACCAAAAAGCATACAACGTCAAAACATTTTAACATATATATCAACCAACAATGAAGTCCAGAAATATTGCATATCACTCCTAATTCTGCATCCATACAAGTTTCCTACAATCAAATATCAAGTAAAAACTTCTGATATGCCTCAAGTGAAACTACATCCTCAAAAATTGCTCCAGCTGCATCTACCAGATCTCAAGCATCAAGACCAACAATTTTTTACATAAATGGCACGCAAAGAAGAATGACATCAAAGTAATACACCTTAACGTCTGTAGCATGAACAAGTTTAATGAAGTAGAACTTCTGGTCAGTGATTCAAGACCAAAAGTATTATGCGTTACTGAAACATGGCTAACAGCGAACAGCATTGACACTTCAAGTATTGAAGGTTACAGACTCATTTCGTATTTCTGTCGAGTACGTATACACGGAGGATGTGCAATATATGTCAGAGATACACTAACAGTAAAAAACATACCTTTCATTAGCTAAGAATCGGTCTAGCGAGAGATATAGATACACTAAATTCGGGAAAATGTGATAAAAAGAGACTACAATCATAATGCGTATATCGCCCCTAATAATCTGGCAAATTCGCCACAGTTTTCAGAAAGTCTAACAAATATTTGAAAAGAATCATTCTCTACAAACAATATGCTCATTCTATGTGGTGACTTAAGCATTGATAGCATGCGGCCCTAGATCTTCTCGCTTCCTTTAATATGCAAAACCATTGTGACGGTCCCACTCACTATATTGTCAATAAAAGTAACAGAATTGATAGTTCCTCAATAGATTACATTATAACAAACATTGAAACAAAACACTTGAAATGCACAATCTGTCATCCCCATATCTCAGTCCATACTGCATAACTAAATAACAGACCCCCAAATGCCTTCAACCAAGCCACCTTAAATCCTGCTTAGCTCTGATGGAACAATTATTTTGGAACTAATATCTGCAAAACAATAAATATAGCTTACTTTGCAATATTAAAGATTAAATCTAACCTAAAGTAGTCCTCACTTTTTGATATATATTTCACCCTGGCTTACTTGCATCTTTGCAATAATATCACAACATGGGGACAAGGAACAGCTATTAAGAGAGTATTTATTTTTCAGAAAAGAGCACTTAGATTAATTTTCAATAGTAATAAGAGAGAATCTTGCAAAGACAGGCTTTAAGCGAAATAATCTGCTGACATTAACATCCATTTAAATTTGTGCCACTTTCGCATTTGAACATCGAATTAAATTCATCCAAAACAATGAAATAACAAGCAGAACCGGATTCGATTTAAATATACTATTTCACAACTCCGCCGTCTTTAGAAATTTATAGCAGTCTGCCAATAGAATTCCGAAGTACGAATATTTTTACCCTGAAGAAAATATCTAGCAGAAAAATGTTTTTATTTTTCTTTTGAGTTTTTTACTATATTTAATGCGTTAGTGCACCCTAGGTGGGTGTGTTTTAGTGTTGTTCCGTATGCAGTCAGGCAGATAAACGTTTTTGAACATTCTTATGTCATGTAAGTGATGCTCAAGACAATAAAATATACCATATAACCTTAATATCTTGTAAACGCAAGATCACTTGTTTACCTGTCAACAATGTTCGTAAATAATGTATCTGCAAAGTGGTCAAGGGCGGAGTATAGGAATTAACCCTTGTATAATCGGAATCTTTAACGAAAATATAAATTAAACAATAGCTTACTGCCTAGTACGTCATGTCGTCTGACCTGCCTTTTTTTTCAAGGATAGATTCTCCGTTGTTCAGTTTTCACCTGCTGTGCGCATGACGTCCCTCACAGTATGATTCCGATTTAGGGAAATATGGATATCCTGCATAATTTTTATTAGGGCGTTTATTATACTCTAAGGCCTGATTTTACTAAGCTGGTGCGCAAAAAAATGCGTGGGACACAAATTCAACCAATAACAAGTCGTTTGAAGTAAGGAATCTAATGTAACATGATCGAAAATCAAATACGTCATAAATCACTTGGTTTAGCTACAAAACCTTTTTTCTCATTTGCGTCCGAACACTAAATTTGCGGTCATGATCATATTATGATGCATCAATGAAAAATAAACATTTGCGCCATACTCGAAGCATGGACGCGAATATGATACAATGACAACAATTAAATGAACATTTTATTGAAAATAACAGTGACTTAGTGTTGCTGTGCAAAATTCTGCTTGATAAATTCTTTGAGGACATACATAAAATTACAGAATGCTTGTTCTTCAACAAACATCGAGTAAATGATCAATTTTCTTACTTTTATCGAGAAGTTGTCGCGCACTCTACTGGACGGTAGGACGACTACACGGCCACGCTGACATCCATGGATACGGATCATGTAGACGTCCTACCGTCCAGTAGAGTGCGCTACACCTTCCTGTTAACAATAATTAAATTGATTATTTACTCCATGTTTGTTAAATAATAAACACAAAATATTTTATTCATGTCCTGAATGAATTTATCAAGCAGAATTTTGTACAGCAACATTATTTTCAATAAAATGCTCAGTAGTGGCGTTATGTCTTATCAGTTTTATCAGGTTTGATCATTGTTTCAAGTATGCCACAAATCCTTTAGGATTGATGGAATTTGGGTCAACTTTTGTTTTAGGACACAAATGAAAACATAGGTTTATGTAGATAATTGATGGAGCAGTTTTGTTTTAATATTTGAATATGTTCCGCTAGTTTAAGAGACATCTTAAAAGCAATCGACCAGATTCATTAAACCCATTACTGCATTACTACTAAGACGCCTTCTCATTGGTCCAATTTGTACCATAGGCGCAAATTTTGATTCCCATTGGTAAATAGTAAAATCGGGCCTGAGTGATACTTTAAATGTAAAATTGATCTATTCAACGTTTTCGGATCGATGTTGCTGTGAAGGTACAAGATATACATATAATTTTTGTTAGGCAAAATACAATTATTTTGATCCGTTAAAGCTTTGTTTAGCTCAGTATCGGCAGGCTCTGTGATTTTTAATGCATAGCGTCAATGTAGAGACTACTAAATATGGAAGACCTATTTTCAAACTAAGCTTCTATATGCTCTGGGGCCAGCATTCATGGATATATCATTTGAAATTTCACTTACTGACCAAGCTTCTTTTTGACTATCCATTTTTTCTTATACGATATTCACTAAACACTTTCTAACTCCAGCAATCTCATTTTCTCGAGCACGAGATGTCAATGTCCTGGTGATGAAAGAGACTGGGGTAATTTTTTTGTAGGAATGTCGCCAGCTTTTAAGTCCACTATATTTTTTCGGAGTGTAACTCAAAAGCGAATGCTTTAAATTGATCTTATAGTCAGTTTCACAAACATGTAAACAAATAACAACGTTTTCTATGTTACCTTTGTCTTTCCTTTTGCTAAGATATAACCACTTTTTACTAGGATAACTAAAAACTTAAGGTCTCAGCACGGATCCCGTTAAAATTGATTGCCGGAATCACGCTCTACAACAACACGCCATATTTTTATCACATCACTAACCTAACACGGTCGATAAACTGTGTAGAACTCAAGGTTAGAAGAACGCAAACAACTTTGTGAGTGTCGTCAAACGCTGACAGACTTACGAAAGTAAGGACCGTCCACCATGCACAAACTCCTATCCTGTATGTGTATCGTGGATGTTTTCAAAGTTAAGTGCTAAAAGCGCAGTAGTTCGCTAAATAAATGAATTTGGAATAGCAATAGTGGTTAGCAATTCATTAACGTCGACTCACAATATATATAATTATATAAAAGTTCTTTCTCCAATTTTAGGATACAGTATCTGTACATAGGCCCAGTTTTTACGCTCAGAGATTTCTCAAATTCATGTCGCAAACGGTATTCAAGAAAATTCCATCACGTAAGTTTTTTAATTTTTATCCTTGTAATAATTATCGGTGTTAACAAGTGTTAACGATTGGTTTTTGTTTAATGTTGTAACGGTAGAAGATGAAATTCCTCCAATATTGAAAATTTAAATTGAAAGGTTTTACTGAATTTCTTAAAGAATTTTGGTTGTATGATTATCTAGACAATTATTTCTAAAGTTAAGCTATGGATGTAACAAGCTTTAAGAGGGACAAAAACGTATGTCATTAGATTTTTATTATATATTTGAGAGGAGGAGAGACATTTAGCCGTCAGTCAAAATATTCAAGTTTATTCCCGTAATTCGGTATGGGATTTCTGAATCTTCTACTAGTAAATAAAATATGTGTAGATTACTTATCCTGTACCGTAGATCATTGTATTACTGCTATCACTGATGGTATATAAACCCTAATTTAGAAGGCTCGAAAATAATCTTCTTTGGTTTTTATGTATTGTTTTGAATACACACTTGTGTTTCTAAATTTTTGGTTTTTTATACAATTGAAAATAAAGTCTTGTCATAAACTCATAATAAAACTTTTCAAATTAATGTTCGACACTTTTTAGTTTGGCATTGAGAGATTTTAAATATTATTTTTACGTAAAAATCAAGGAATATCACTCAAAGTTTAAGTATTTGCAGTCATTATATAGGTGAAGAGCCATTTAAATTGAGCAACATTTCAAGTGTAGATATAAGTGGAATTTGTTGATATGAGAATACGTGATTGATCCAGCAATAAACATTCTAAGTAAACAATGAATTCTTGCAACTCAAAAATTATTGGGTATTGCTCACTTGGTGTGGAAAGCGAGTAACCAAAGGACAAAACTATTGTCGCCTGACATGAACTTAGGACCTGTCACACAAACTCACGCTTCAGAATCTAAATTGATGCATTGACTTAAGTTTGTGGTGACGATAATCTATTTCTGATTACATACCCTTCTTTGCCTAAACGGGGTCCGTGTATGAGTTTATGTAATATCTTTGTAAATTTGCGTTATAGCTCGTGAATTTACGTGACATGGCAAGACTGTGTTGGCACTTTAAGATCTAGCATATGGAAGAAACATGCATGTCGACACTAGAGTCATGGAGAACACAGACTGAATTCCAGTCGTTAGCTTGTATAGTTGTAGTCACCGTTCTTGGCGGTTACGTCATCAACGCCATATGAAATAAGTAAACCGATCGAGTCTTCATACCATGGGCGGAACAATGCGCAGACTAATCTTCAACGCATCTGCTACTCTCTCCAGTACGCATGAAGTGGGTAACAGGGGACCGCTGTTTTCATTCTCCTCCTGAGATAAATTTAGCACGAGCTGTCGGCCTTCTCCATTGATTGTATTTCCGAGCATTGTACAATTTTATATTGAAGATTGATAACAGGACAACTCGAATTGCACGCCGATGTCAAGTAAGTTGTCACTCTAACAAATATGATTGAAGGGCATTCATATTTCATATGTAACGACAAATTTTTCGAGACGGAGACACACACCTAAAAAACGTATGATCTTTAAACTTACCGAACATACGTTCTCACGCAGGGGTAGTTTGCATGGGTATGTATGAGGGAGATGGAGATATATAAAGGGATACTGGTAGTCTTACTTTGAGCCGTCAAGAACAGTGACTACAACTATATCGGCGAATGGTGAAAAATATGCTATGAGCTAGTTCATATACTGAGTGACAAAAAAGATAAACAAATACTATATTTATTAGAATTCAATAATTTTTACATATCGATTGATCTTGCCATGAACAACAAGTGATAAAATGCTCAGGTTTTTCTGTTAAGTCTTTGTGGTGGCTGCGTGTATTGTTTGGTGTCAGTTGAATGTTGAATTTTGTGTAGCTTATTGAGAAGCATTTTTGTGATTGCTCAAAATGCCCAGAGTGCGTAGAATTTGCCGGGTGTCCCAGCTAAGTGACTTTGAGAGGGGTCGAATTGTCGGGTTACGTGAAGCCGGCTATCGATAGAAGTTTCTAGGAGGACTAACAGATCCTTACGCAGTATACTGCAGTGTGAACGAGCGTGGGCTCAGGAAGGCCGAAGACAGCGAGCGAGGAGTTCTAGACGTGCCAGAGGAAGCACAGAGCGGCAATACCGCCGGTTGAAGACTTCTGGCTCTGATTCAGTAGTACTGGAGCCATCGCTAATCAGTGGTTTGAAGAGCATGGAAGGATGGTTGGTATGCGTGCGGTATATCGCCGAATACGACAGTTTGGCCTTTTTTCTTATCGCCCACATTGGGTGCTACCTCTCACAGCTGAACATCGGCGCAACCGTTTGCTCTAGTGTGGAGAACGAATTCTATGGGCCCGGGAATGGAATCAGGTGGTCTTTAGTGACGAATCCCGCTTCCGTCTGGGGATGCACGATGGTCGGGCAAGAGTGAGAAGGCGACGTGGTGAAAGACGTGACCCACAATTTGACATAGAGCGTCACGTTCACCACACCGTGGGAGTTATGGTATGGGGTGCTATTGCTTATTGTAGCAGATCACCACTAATATTCATCAGAGGCAATATAACAGCCCGACGCTATATTCAGGAAGTATTGGAGCCTCATCTTGTTCCATACCTAAACACCATCCAAAACTTGATTTTTCAGCAAGACAATGCCAGACCGCAGGTTGAAAGAGCATCGTTAGCCGTCATAGATCAACATCGCAACAACCGTTTACCTTGGCCACCACGATCGCCTGACCTATCTCCAATTGAACATGTCTGGGACATGATAGGTCGCAGGCTCTTGAATTTGCAACACCCTCCACAGACTTTAGCAGCTCTTACTCACGAAGTTGCAGTAGCCTGGAATGAGATACCCCTACAGGATATCGACCACCTTATCAGCACAATGCCCAGCCGTGTCAATGAGTGTATAAGAAATCGTGGATCCTCAACACATTATTGAACCAGCTTCTGAAGTCAGTTGACGAATCAAGCTGAAAATTTAATCATTTTACTAGTAAGGGACACCGGACATACGAGTATATGTCAAAAATTATCAAAACCCGATAAACATACGTAGGTCTTTGCCTTTTTTTGTCACTCAGTATATTTGTGAAATATGTAAGGGATATCTGTCACCGAACATCCATATTCAAGGATTATAAGCATCGGTCGCGTCTATAGTTACTTCGGTTATTATGCCCTTCTGATAGCCTATTTGACGTGAGAGCCACCTATGGAGGAATGGCGCTTACTGATATTCGGCTAAACTACTGCTTTCCGCATTCCGCTAGGATGGTTTGAGGGTAGCAAGCTGGTAGGATACTATAATATGGAGTATATTTTTAAAACAAATTATGCGGAAGGAAATATGACCCTTAGTATCACATTTAGCTGCCTGTCTGTGCAATAACGGACATATGTAGAGGTTTAATGCTATTTGATCCTTGATTTCGATGTCCATGAGGCAAATGATGTCCATGGGCTGGAAAAGATTAGATCGGCTCAGCTAAGCGAATGCCTTCAATGGAGCAATGTCAAATTCTCAAAATACGCAACACACACAGCTAGTCTAGCCACTGATAATTAGTTAACAGTAAGGAGTTTGCAAACATCGCAATCTGACTTCAGAAATTTCATTTTGGCATTTGCAAATACGAAATAAGAGTGTCGTTGGTAAAGCGAACTCTGGCATGTCACGGTTGCCATCTTCATTTGTCTGGTTATCTCGGTGGCTCATGTTTGGCAATTCGTAACTTTTTCTTCTAGTATATGAATAGTTGCCTCATCGCCTATATAGTGACGTAAATACCGATTAGTAATCCGTAGAATTCTGACGTTTAAATGTGTGTGTTTTAATGCTTCATGTAGTGGACTTGCCTGAAATAAAGGGCAACCATCGCAAGTTTCGCACCCTGGTATCCAGCTATATAGGTAAATCTTACACGACACATACGTTCACTTATTTTTATTACTAATCATTTTTGTTGTTCTCGTTTTGCCCTGCTTCCTTGTTTCGTCTTTCTGTTTTGTTTGGAGGAGTTAATTTTTTTTGCTGCCGCTTTTTATTTTGTTTGTACATATACGTTTTTTTTTTCGATTTGTACATGGTTTTCTGAACTTTTTATGAGGGAATTATTTATTGCAAAATGATACTACACCATCATGTTTACACGTATGTGATCTAAAAACTGGTTCCTGCATTTTGATTTGCATCAAACATCTCCATTTGAACCTTGGGCCCATAACCTGAAAATTAGGTTTCATCCTAGCACATTATAACCTGCATTTTTTAATTTAAACGCACCTGAGAACTCATAGATAAGTTCGCCATGGTGTCAGTGGCATTCCAAAAATCATGTTTGTCAAAGCATTCACCTGCAACTGACTTGAATCGAATTGTGTTTCTTGGAAGATCACGAAAAACTTCAAGACGGTACAAGACACTTATCAGATAAGTAGCTTACAGTTATAACTTGAACTGTTTGATCACATTATCGATAACAATGTAAACATGCTGATTACAATAGTTCTTGGTACTATAAATGATGTATATTTTTCGATCAAACAACTATATTACATATAACATTACATCTACATCTTATCATGCAATACCAATCAATGTATTTGCATATCATAACCTATCATTTTACTTATGTTATGATAGATTACTGCTCTTCTATTCAAAGGTAACATTGATAATACTTCTAGTACTTGTTGACTGTTTACCGTTGTTTGGGCAACTGTGTGTTGCATCTCTGTTTGGTGTAACTATTATCTATTTTACACTTCAATATTAATTTGTGTTTTTTTTTTGTATTGAAACGTTCCATATACTTTGTATAAATTTACTACTAGTATGTTCTTATAGATATTGCTTTTTGGCAGTTTAATTACGTTTAAGATACCTTGAAAAAATATAGGATTCTTCTCAATTTTATTGCAAAAAATATTAGCCAAGTACACACTATTTTCAATTGAGTTTAGTCTATATGGATTTGAAGAATACCTTATATAATAAACATAAGTCATACTAGTAATAAATAGAATATTCTTTTTTTTATCTACAACTTTTAAAATATACTGCTGCTGCTTTTGGTTTTATAATAGAATTCTAACAATTTGTTTCGTTTATATTGATCCTTTTTGTCATTTATGTAATAACTATTGTGTGTGCTTATACACATAACCTCTTGCTCATTTCCAGTTAGATTTCATTTGTCGTTCTAGAATTACATTCTCCTACAGGGATAAACTTGTTTTTTGTCGATGTTAGGGCTTTGCTACTTTTATTCTGCCATACTTCAAAAACTAATAATACTAAACATATTAATATTTGGAATATAGCTATAAAGCCATGAAAATATAATGAACTGTGCTGTCAAGTTTTTCAGTTCAATATTTTTTTATGTTCAAAAAATAACTGGAAAAAAGCAGGATTGTTAATCATTGACAGTCTCAGTTCAATCATCCTGACTTGAAAACGTTCTTGTTCCAGCTTTGAAACATTCCCCATCAAAGCGAAAATCGTTATCGAAACCTCTGGGCCGACATGATGAGTTGAACGAACAAGATAGTAAGTAAATTTTAATCAAACTGTTAGAAAGGGATTTCAACTGAAATGAATGGGATCTTGCGTCCTTTGACTAATAGTACTGATAATAAAATGAACTTTGAGTCTTACGATGCTTTGATTGCTTGCATCGAACTTGTATACTTCGCAATCGACAGTAAAAGTATTATCTGCCCAGCGAAAGAATGCAAGAGGGGAAACGGTGAGAGGTGCCGCAGAAACCGGTTATCGTTTGCTGCTGCTCCTGTGAGGTATCTAATGCCGTCCAGTGACAGACTTTCGATCGGCATCAACTTAAACGGTTGATGCCGAAGTTCATAACCTTATAATTGATCAAAATAAAACAAATATTTACAATAATTGTATATGTCGCTTAAGGAATAAGGAATGCATTCGTGCGTTCAGTAAACTTTCATGAATATTTCGTCAGCTTGCCGCAAAAACAAGGTATTTCCATTTTTCGAGTTAAGTACATTTCTACACCTGTTACGGATATCACTATTTAGTTTCAGTTTTCTTAAATTTTAATTTTGCATTTGGATAAAATTGTCACGCCTATTTTCCGACTAGAGTTACCAATCGAACATGTAAATTCCAATTACTAAAAACTACACAGTGTCTGGCAACGTCGCTATTTCCCGCCCGGATTCCTTTGCCTCGCATTATCTCGCTGGACAGATAATAAAAGTCTCCATAATGATTGAAGAAGATATAAAAAATGTCCAGTTATTGTTTTGTGAAATGTCTAAGGTTATCTCTATATTACATATTCTGTATTTTTGGTTGTAAGGTTGAACAAATCAAGTGTGTGTGTAATTTGATACTTTCACGAAGATGCAACATCTCATTTCACGTCTATCAAAACTATTATAAATGGATATATCTTATTTTTGTAACGTCCTCAATCTGTATTCATTATTTGCTTTGTCATGCTTGGCTGTTTCTATTTTTGTGAATTTTCCATCGTCGATCATATTTTCTAACCATTCATTGGTGTTGGGTTATACAGCTACTGTGCAGGCGCAGCTAAATTCTAGTCAGCAAAACGGCAGCAAAACTGGTGAGTGTTCCATCTGAGTTTGTGTGTTAAATGCTAATACTAATTGTTAATGAAATTGACACAAGGTATTAGGAGTTGTATCTTATCTGGTTTGATGGTTAAGATAAATTACACACTTGAAGTTTTTCACAGTTATAACCCAACAAAACACATGTTTCCATATACATACATTAGGGTGTCCCAACCTATGAGGGCAAACAAATTTTTGGTCGAATTGAGATACGCATATCCTCTATTTTTTTCCATTTGAACCTACAAACTCAAAAAAAAAATATTATTGCGATAGGGAACGATAACTCGTACCGACTTTTTGTCAAATTTTGAATTTGAAAGTTAGTTGAGAAACCATGTATGGATCTCAAAACACTGCTGTATTTGTATATTATATTTCTTAGATATTTATCATTAAAAAACATTAATAATAATAATAATGTTTATTGGAATAACTTAGATGCACAAAATCGTTATCTTACAATAAACATACAACACCCAGAAAAATATAAATGGGTAACTACATAAACGTTAAAGAAGATATCATAATGTAGCTAAGTGTAAAAACTTTATATTTTACTTGGTGTAAGATTCGGCTAAATTATTGAGACAATTTTTGGTATAAAATTGTTTTTAGAATATTTCTCCTTAAATGTGTTCAAACATAAATACACTCATGATGTACATAAATTACTTTAAGTTTAATAATGATTTTTAGTGTCTGTTTAGACTTGATGTGTTCTTTGTTCAAAAAATCCTGAAAATATTTGAATTTTGGGGTAAGACATCTTAGTCTTTTCACTAGGACTTATGTATGTGCATTCCACTTTAAATTTTGGTCTGGTATTAAACCTGAGTATTTAATTTTGTCAACTAATTGGATTTCTTTATGTCATATTTTATTTGAAATTTGAGTTTACTGTAATTTGGAGATAGTCTTTCATCACAAGAGAATGCCATAAAGTATGCTTTTTTGTAATTTATAGTCATAATTCTATCTGAAACAAAAATCATAACTGTTGTAAAATGATTTTTAATTTTAGTTTTTAAGCTGTACCAATCACTACTTGTATAGATGACTGCTGTGTCGTCAGCGAATAAGATAATTTCGCCAACAGTATCTAAATTAAAAAGATCGTTAATATATAAATTGAAGAGTAAGGGGTCTAACACTGTACCTTGGAGTACCCCATAAGTCACTACCTGTTGTTCGCTTAAAGCAGTGTTTATTTCAACCCGCTGATTTCTATTTGATTAATAACTTTCGATGAGTTTATATGTGGTACCCTAGAATCCTAAGTTTCCTAGAGTAGTCAAAAGAGCTTTGTTACTGATAGTATCGAATGCCTTGGCAAGATCAACAAACATGCAATCAGTAGGTTTACTTATATCCATGTTTTCATATATTTTATTAGTTAATTGCATAATTGCATTTTGTATTGATTTTCCTTCCTGAAATCTATATTGTTGGGCTGATATATGTAATGTTATATTTTTTAGTGAAATCCGTAAACCTCCTTTTTATAACTTTTTCAAATATTTTAGAGAAAATGCTTAGTAGGGAAACTTTTCTATAATTACAAGGTTTTTCTTTTTCGCCAGATTTGATCAGCAGTTTAATTACGGCTGTTTCCAGATGAGATGGGAATACTCTCTTATTTAAGCAAATATTAATTAAATATGAAAGTATACCGCAAATATTAGTGTTTATTCCGTTCAACGTGTAAGCTCTAATTTTGTCTTAAGCCTGGTGGTTTTCTTCCTTCCAATTCATTAATTATGTTCATTATTTCGTGTTCATCTGTTGGTGATAGATATACTGAGTTTTGCAGTCTAGTCTTACTATGATTTAGTTTTTCTTCGTTTACTGTATTTTTTGACAACTTTTCACCAATTTTCGACAAATATTTACAGAATTCATTAACTGCATCGGTATCATTATTTGTTAATTCACCGTTATCTTTTTCGATTGAAGTTATTGTGTTTTCATATTTGTTACTTTGATTTTTTTCGACAAAATGCCACAGCTTCATAGAGCAGTTCTGAAATTTGTTAACTTCTTCTTTGCTGTATTTCAATTTCGCTTCTTTTATATACTTTCTTTGGGTGAATCAGCATCTGTCAAATACCATAAATGTTGGCAGAACTTTTCTAAAGCTGCTTTTGAAATTGTTTTATCAATTCTTTCGGAAGCCTCCATTGCCTTCAAAAAGTATAAATCCTAGTTAGGTGCTTTCATGGCTGAAGTGCATAGCAACCACGGTTTCACGTAAGTTGTCACGATGAACAGGCAGATATCTAACAGAGCTGCCTTATTCATACAAGAAAGTTTGAGCTGGGAACTTAGGCCCGTATCATCAGTCGTCCCTACAGTTGTAGGGCGCGTTTATGGCCTCCTTGATTGTCATACTCCTTTCTCTCCTTCAAAAATTTCTAGATTGCACCCGTCCCGTGTCAGCGTCAGCGCTCTCCTATTGTGAAGATATGTTTTCTTTTTAAATTGTAGTAAATTTCAGGCTGATAAAACATGATATAACTCAAAAGCAAGCACTATTTGATGCAAATAGATGTTTGTGACATAACCTCAAAATAGAGCGCTGTCACGGAGAAGTACAAAACTATGACAATCAAGGAGGCCATAAAGGCGCCCTACAATTGTAGGGACGACTGACGATACCTTAGTAACGCTATTTTTAATATTCATACTGAATGACATAGAAAATGCAACAACGATAGGAGTGCTGTAATTTTGCGTCTACGTTTACAAGTTATAGGTCTCCTGATAATTAGAAGGAAATTTCGCAAAATAGCTGAGATATCCCATTTTAATGTTAATAACATGTTGAAGCTCCTCTGTTCGCTACACATTCATTAGATTTTCGCGCGCGGCATTGATTGGATTAGGTGATTGACGTCTTCTTGGTGCATTGTATCCCAGGCCATCTGAATTTGGTTCCATAGAGCCTCCAATGTTTGTGGAGGGTGCGGTGAATATTGCAACCTTCTTCCCATCATGTCTCATACATGTTCGATGGGGGAAAAGTCTGGAGATTGAGGAGGCCACTGAATACGTGCGACATGAGGTCGTGCATTGTCCTGCTGAAAAAGTGGATCTTGCAATGTTTCCAAAAAGGAAGCAGATGTGGTTGTAAAACTTCGTGGATATAGCGGTGGGCAGTCATGCTACCTCAAATCGTGACCTGCTGCCGTAAGTAATCGCACCCCATACCATAACAACCACTGTGCGATGAATATGCCATTCGATGGAATATTCGACGTCTTTCACCACGTCTTCTCCTTACTCTTGCACGGCCATCATGTGTGCCCAAACAGAATCTGGACTCATCGCCGAACATGACTGAGTTCCATTCCGTATTCCATTTGAGTATGTCCCTACTCCATACCAATCGTTGCCGATGATGCTGTGGGGTCAGAGGTAGTACATCTGACGGTATGAAAACAGTCCAAAAGACCTTATTTCGCGATAAACTGTCCACATTGTTACTGCCCTTGTTGTAAAAAATCGATCTCTAAGTGCTAGTTGCCTCAAATAACGATATTGTCGCTCTGTAGTCTGTCTTTGACGTTCAGTACCTCTAACTCGTCGACTTCGGCCTTCTTGGAACCACCTTGACCACATCTCATTCCAGTAGCTTCGTTTCGATTCACCCGGTTAGAGATTTCTATAAAAGAAAATCCGTCTCACGTAACCCGATTATCCGACCCCGCACAAACTCGGAAAGTTGAGTGAAATTAGCGCGTCTGCGAACTCTAGGCATAATATTGGAATGAAACAAATGTAACCAATGCTGAATATTAAGTATACATTTTCATGTTGTTCAGATCCTGATAAGTCAAAAAAGTACGGCTCGGAATGCCTTCAACATTCTATCAGCTTATACTTCCATGTTAGCAAACATGTTTACAAGTTTTCATCGAAATTCAATAAATAATTCTGGGTGTTGCATTTTATATGCCACTTAGTATATATTGCTCTGGCCATCCATCGAGCTTGATGCATGGAGCCTGGCGGTCGAATCTTGAATTTTTTCGATGTACCTCCGCCAACGAATATTTTTGAAAGTTCTATTAATGCTCGATAGTCATTTCTAGCAACTTCTTTGGTCAATTCATGTCGATAAAATTCCAGCAGCTTATCAGTCTCTGAAATATTCAGGCATGATAGCGTTTCAGTATAAATTTGTATTTTCCCGGGATCCACACTTTTCCAGCTCTCGCGAAACTGTTTAAACATTGGAACGTCAGGGCTTGTAGTTACTTGGTCGACCTTCGATTCAAACACGCCTTTTATCATCATTCGTAGACGTGATGGCGGCAAATAAAAATAAGCCTTTCTTAAGTTTCTGTTCGAGACGCACGCGTGCACCTTGAATGCGACCTATATTTGATCAGTATTTGATAAGTAGTATCACAACAGAGAGTCTGAACTTTAGCTTCAAGATTCCAGTCAATAATAGCATCCCAAACTGTCTGCGCCTGCTCGCAGTCTGAAGTGTTACCCAATTTGGGCACAGCCGATAAGTTCTTTAGACTTGCGTGCATTTAAAGGTGGCAACAATTTGCCATCCCAGTGAACAGTTACAGTATCCGGTAAACTCATCAGTGTTATGTCTAAGAGCCTTCGCACACTACGTCGTGTCGTAATCGTATCGCGTAGGACGATAGCAAAACGAGCTCGTATGTGTGCTAACAAGTCCGCAAACGAAGCGGTGTTGCAGCGAAGCGTATGAGATGTTCGTATTACGATAGTCGTAGCGGTCTGGCGTAAGGCTGGCGTAGAAGCAAGCGTAAAATTTATTATCATCTTCTGAAAGTCCAAGTGCAGCAACAAACAATATTTTCTTCTTATTCCTTGCGATGTATGGATAGGTCCAATCAGCACGTTGCCTTCTACTTCTGCCATAATCAAACAATAAAAAATCCTCTTCGTCTGAAGAAAATGTAAGATCATTAAGGGATACACCAGAAACATCTGTTACCGTTGACGTCATGATTTCAATTGAAATCCTACAAAACGATACGAGTACGTGACGATTCGTGTGTGGAACACTGCAGGTCTCGTAAGCGTATCGTGGCGACGCAACGACTACCCTTACGATGCGAGTGTGAAGGCCCTTAGTGCCTCAATGGTTGCTTCAATAATAAAAACAGCATTACTCATACGTAATTGACACCTATCTCAGCCCCTGCGATAAGATCCTATCTCGCATGCGCAATATCAAACAGATTATCCAAGATCGTAACAAACTCTTGTCGACGTTGCTCACTCACTTCTTGTGTTTTGCTTGCATTTTGTTGCAAATGTCTTCAAACTTGGTATAAGGTAAATAGTTTCTTAACACAGTTAGGTAGAGATATAGTCGGTATACGTGCTTTTCCCAGTAAATAATGCACTCAGGAATAGTAAGGTTGGCGCTCTCATTGACACCTAATTTAATTAGAGGGAAGTTTTGAGCCGGGAATTTGATGCTTTACGTTCCCTATTGAAAATATTTCCTCCTTAGAACTGTAATTCCTTCAACAGCACAAACGAGCACTGCAATACGTTGCTAGCGCGCGCCTAATATGCAAGTTTTGACATGTTCCAACGTTCGACACGGGTTGCCCTGGTTTCTAGGTACATAAGCAAAATTAGAGGGTATGCGTTTGAAAAAAAAGAACTTTCATTTTTTGAGACACCCTAACATATGATACATACATGCATACGAGCAAACATATCATCGACTGTTTGATAAAAACGTTTACTTGACTGCAAAAAATATGTTCAGTTCACTGACAATTGTTCCATCCACTTAGATCAGTAGTATTTACCTGGGATTATGTAATCTTGTTTATCTTGTGGAAAATTACCACCATTTATTTTCATTGTACACTAGCAACATCACAAAAAGTTTATATTATATAGGGCGTTCCAAAAATTAAAAAGAAAATCAAATAAAGTGTTCAGCATTCATTTAATAAGAAATTTGAAGCACGGCCCTCTCACATGAGCTTATAAATACTATTTGAAGATGTTGACGTTCCTACGAATGTCATGTGTTCTTAGCCCTTTGTAAAGCGTTTTTTAAATTAATACCTAATCGATAAGCTTGTTACTGTCATAGGAGAGTGCCAATTTTGGTTTTTCAAGTCCGATTTATAAACAAGTTTAAGAAAACCCTGTACATGCTCTTTGTTGATGAATGTCTTCCATCCTGAAGTGGATAATTCTTGTGAAACGTATTTGTTTTACTGATTCAATTTTTGATTGGCATTTTCAAATATACAAATTTCAATTAGAATTATGGAAAAGGTAAATTTATGTAGTTTATAACTTTACTAAACCAACTTTGCATATCGTCGTTGATTTGACGAAAACTCATATGTGTTTAGAAGCAATGTTTACATAATGACATAAAAACTCTTTTAAATTTAGAAAATTGGTTTCGCTTCCATCCAAACAGATTTTTAGTAAATCTCTACAGAATTACCAGATTTTCTTTATTATGAAACTTGTACATCAGATCACGGAGGTCGTATTTGACAATATAAACATTCAGAAAGCTCCGATGTGAAAAAATTGTTAAATAGGAGGTTTCATCATAACAACTACGATATTCTATATAATAGTTTTCTGGTGTTAATAAGTGGCCAGCTTTTTGTCGCCATACTTATAAAGCTAGATATTTCACAGGTAGTATTTAAACACTATTGAGAACAACCTAGAGAATCAAAGAAAATATTTCACGAGAATTCATCATTTCTACGTGTACTAACATTCTAAATATTCCTTGTTTCTTTTCACGCGGCCGACTTCCATTCCGGGCCTGTTCTTTCTTGTGATCCCTCCTCCTCCTTCTCCTACAATAGCAAGTCCCGTCGACGCCGTTCCTCCCACCGTGGCTAGAGCCCCTCCCACATCCACTCAAGCCCCTCCTACTACGACGCCCCTCACGTCCCCACCAGCCGCCGCGTATCCCGCCGTGCTAGTCGGACGCACGACATCCGGTGGCGTTGCAGGCGGCGCGGCAGATGGCAAAGGGAAGGTGCCACCTCCGGTGCCACCTCGCGGTACGCCCAGACCGAAGAGAGAGGAGCAGAAAGGTGGGCATGCATCGCCGTTGCATGAGTTGCTTACAAAGTTGCCCAGTCCCGCTCCTCGAAGGCCGGAGAGGCGGAAAAAGAAAAAACCAGCCACATCCAGGCGGTGCTTGACTAATGCGCATTTGCTCAGTCCGCCTAGCTTAGAATATATTTTGCAGAAGTTTGTGTAGTGCATCCAAAATGTATAAGTTCGAAGCTAATTTTGTTTTCAGCTGCCATCAATAATGAAACCTTGAAATGCTGTTTTTGAACAACTTAGTGAAAAGAACTTTTCAAAACATACGTAAATTCCAACTCAATTGATATCTATGAATTTATTATATTTATATTTTTTATTTTTATTCAATTCCACAGCCCAACAGTCATGTTGGCGCTGGAGAAGTATTAACTGAATTTGAATATTTTTCATGCGGTGCTTCCAAAAATGGCTTTCAATTTTTCTTAATAGCTGAAGTTTTCAAGATACGCTAATATTGACCTTTTATAGAATAGAGAAAAGTAGTTTTTCATCTTCGATAGATTTCACGTTATTACTATTAGTCTTGTCTACTATTTGCATATGAGATAATAATAATAATATCGTCTTAATTTAGAAAGGTACAGAAGTGTGATTCATTATGGCGAAGTTTAGCTAAAGCTAATCTCACACTTAACCGTATGGATACGAAAAAAAAGATGGTATAGGAGATACAAAACAAAGTTTTGCTATTGCAATGTCACAATAGTATTGAAAGCTGTTATCTCAAACAGGTAGCTAATTTAAATGCCTAGAAACATACATATATTTATACAAATATATGCATTATTGACAAAATTGAACAAAGAAAAGAAACATTCTAACGTAGAGGTCTTTAAGTATAATCTAACATGCATTCGGAAACAAGACAGATGTTTATATACAGTTATAAAAAAAAAGTTGAAAACACATAGCGGAAAAATACATTTTATACCCATCTTCAAAGATTTTTTTATGTAACTTTCTAGCATGTGGGTATCGAGAACAGTATTGCTGAAGGTTACAACAATAGTCGACTATAAATGCATTCAAGTCAACTTCGTTCATTAATTCTGTGAATTGTGGATCTTTTGTAAGCGGTCTTATTTAATAACCATCGAAGCAGCTTTCAGTTTTTCTTTGCTTATTCTATAAAATATACGTGACAGGTATCCAAAATATTGTACACCTTAGTCTAAATTCCTAGCGAATTGCTTCATACTCGTATCTCCACCTTCATTTGCAAGGGCGGCAATATACTTTTTTTTCTCTTGCAACTTCGTTGACCACGACATGACATAAGGCCAATCTTTTTTAACCCAGTGCTGATCTTTTTTTCTGCTATCCCAGATACGTAAAATATAAGTAGGTTTTGTATATGTATTTTGCTATCCAACGAAAAAGTTTACCATTTTTAAATCAAAGTAACCACTGATGCACTATTAATACTGTTTGATATTTCTCTTTCATACTGGTGGAATAGCGCATGGGTGTTGACCCAAGCTTACTATTAATAATTTTATTTTAATTAGTACCAAGTTCCCAAAGACTAATGGTAAGCTGACGCCGGCACCGGTATAGTTATATAGTAGATGAAGTATACAGGCCAGGTAGTGAAATTCGGTCGTAAGCGATCGGTAGATATAGAAAATTTTGATTTGGTTTTTTACCGTTCTGATTTCCTAGTACCTCAAATAAGGTAATTTGATTTTCAGTTTACCAACAAAATTTTGGTTTTACATTTAAGAATATTTTCTTATTACTTTCTCCTTTTAATTAAACTACATATTATTACCCTGAGAGAAAATTAGAGCTATTATGAATAATAGAAAGACATTTTTGAAATCAGCATATCAAAAATATTTAAAATCAGTTATTACTTCTACGACACCAAGAACTTTTGCTCGTTTCCTTGGCCTGTGTTATCAATGGTGTGCCATTCTGGGCGAAGACCACGATCGGCGAACTGTCACTGTGAAATGATCGAATCCATAATTTAGAAGAGTGAATTTAATATCACAGTGAAAATGTGCCAGTGACAGATTTTCTGTATTATTGCTATGCCACTAGTCTCGTGTTTCGGTCTCAGGCTCGGCACGGTCTCCTGTCGCTGTTTGCAAGCAGAACAGCTCCTTGAAATTTCTGTTTAGGCCCTATACTATTGAATGATTTTTATTTTAATCTAAAGACGATATGTTGCTTTTTTTTATTGATGATCGCTGATATATAATGGACGTCAGTTTAGTATGCTATTGGCTTTTGTTGGACTGTAGAGATATCATAAAAGTCCCTATCATCTTTATTCAAATTATATCGCCCCGTAGTCTTGGCTAACTCCCTGTTACGTAGTTTGTGTATATGCATGCTTGACCTATGATTCAAGGAATCATTTTTTATATAAGCCTACCAGATGTGTGTCAAAGTTCACGGAATATTCGTTTCATTTGTTTTAATTCCGGCTACGAATGCACTGTTTGCTTATTATTTTATTTTGTTAATCTACAAATAGGGTATTTTCCGCTTTAATATTTTTGCAAGCCCAGATCCCATAACGCTTTTGACACGACAATAAACTCGTGGTCCAAATGCACTTTGTATCAAAGTTCATTAACAAAGCCCACCACAAATGCGATAAATTTCAATCCAAACGTTTTTTTTTTTCAATTTTCATTTTTTCTCACAATTTTTATTGACGTCTTAACCAAAAAAATAAGACTAGGTAGAAAAATCAAAAATGTCATTTTAATTTTTGATGTACCTTGAAAAGGGATACCGAGATGGCCGATATGTTGATAGATCTTCTTTAATCTGGCAGCCGATGATACATGGTGATTCCTTAGCGAAAAACCCCAGGATAAGTTTCAGTGTAACTTTAATAAAAAAATATCGGTTATAAATAGTAAAGTATATTGTTACTGACATGTTAGTAATGGAGACATCTTATCGCCCGTATTAATTAGGCTAAATTACCAAGGAAACGTTTTCAGGGTAAGCATACGTACAGGTTATAATACGTATATACCTAAAACATCTAGTAAAATAGGTTCCTCTGACCCCAATACGTTTAAAAGCTAAGGTGGCTATTTTACTGATGGCAACAATGAAGTTTACTATTATCGCCAGAGTGGAGGTCAGTTGAAATTATGCAAAAAATCTATATCAACCCTAGCTTAGTCTTTTTCTATTAACGAATTGGTGTGTGGTCTGTATTTGTACCATAGGTTTGTCAGGGTTTCAAACGTGTTATGGGTTCCTAGCATATTATAGGTGATATAGCTTATTCGCATCTATTTTCAAGATTGATATGGTTTTCGCTGGCATCTGAAAAAAAATGGTATTTGTTCGTTCAAAGAGAACACGTCAAATTGTCTGTAATACTCACTAGAGGAATCAGCCAAAAACGAACAGTCTTCCGGATACGAATAGGACGTGACCTTCAATTCAAAGCAAACTGTCAATGTCGGAGAGGAAATGCTATTCACATCTGAGAACCCTAACATATGTGGTAAAGGCAAGGTCGCATTCTAAGGACAGAGCGTATAATGTTAGAACTTTGGCCTGAAATTTTATATTTAATCTTTGAAACGGATTTTTTGGAACTTCGTCGTTATAGGCATAAGTGAAGATACAACATAATAAAGAAAATATATTAATGTTCCGTCGAAAACCCCATTAATATAAATGAATTGCAAATTTATAATTGTAGGTTGTTACTCCATTTCGCTTCTTCGAGGCAAAATAGTCTGATTTTTCCATTATTGTCAAATGACAGTCACTGCCTACAATCCTATATGACCCCAAACACCCTCAACCGCTTGCACCTCCGCCTATCAGCCAGTGTTTTCTATTCAATCCGCTAGACTTAGACTGTAGCGCGCTCGTTTCTGCCCCTTTATAGGCCACCACCAACACCAATCTGCACAGCTGCCGCAGACGCCCAGTTGCTGCAGCACTCCACCCCCCACCTACTACGAGGGCGTGGAAGGAGGAGTAGGAGGGGTTGAACGGCATGCCGCGCATTCTTCGGCCACCCAATCATCGTCGAGAAGCGGCAGTGGGAGTGGCAGGCACCACCATAATCATCAGTCGACGGCGTCGTCATCGTCAGCTGCTACGTCATCGGGTGGTAGTGGGGGGCATGTGTCGACGACTATGTCACATCAGCATGTCACGGTGGTGAGGGGGTACAAGGAAGATGCGGTCAGGTGAGTGATAATATCGTCATGCAGAGTGATTCCGAAAACAATATACATGAATAGTTCATATAAACATAGGTCCTAAAATGCAACCTTGCCGAGATATAGGGTGTTGAAGTTATGAATTCCAAAAAAAATCTCCAGAGCGGATTAAGATATTGACTTAATAATTTATACATGTAGTATAGCCAACAGATACAAAACTGTCGTGTACGATGGCGTAGAAATTAGAAAATGTTTACCCCTATAGAAGCAAAAATATGTTCTACGCCACTGACTTATTTAAATATCTATTGAAATTTTGAATAAAGCTATTCAATTTTAGAGGATTTTTTGTTACAGGACTGTTTTTGGGTTTGATCGTTTGAGAGAAAATCCATATAAAAACTACAACCTGTTCTACTTTGAAAATTAGTGAAGTTCGACATTGATAATTGCGTATAGAGTATTTGCAGAGTAATCCTAAGCTATTATAGCATTATTTTAACAATGTTCATATGTTGTCCTTCTTCAGTTTTAAAAGGTTTTAAAAATAGGATAGGTCAAGGAGATTCCCGCACACTTGTTACGGAGCAAAACCGACATTTCAATTTTTGCTTTCATTTTCATTCATTCTGATAAAATGTTGCTAGAAGGTTGTTAGAAATGATAGTGTCGGTATAATCTGGTTCGAACCTATGCCCTATTTAGAAAGAAAATAATAATACTGCTAGTTTTTTTTTAATGCAACCGATTTTCAGGCTGGTGAAAAAACACAACTGCAAATGCAGTGTTGTTATGCAGAAGTGGCGTAACTATTGCTATTTTGTAGCTTAAAGGGTATTTTGTTCCCGTTAAGCTTTAGTTTCTGTTATTTGATTAAAATCTTACACTTACGATAAAACCATTGCTTAGCGCATCTATGTCATTTTATTTATAAAAAAGCTTCTCAAAAGATTACTATGAAAATATACAGAAGTTTGCAATTTTTTATACTTGCAACCAATTGCTTATTCAATTTGAACACTGTTAGGCAAATTACATGATTAGTGTTTACTGTGATCCGTCAGTTTTTATCATGGACTACGATATTTTCCGAGCGTGTAACGAGGACGTCAGTAATTCTTGTTGTATAAGGTTACCTAGAAATTCATTAACACTGAAGGAATGATGGTACGGACCGCATCAAACTAATGATCGTGTGACATTCTCTTTAAACTATACATAAACACAATGTTTCCCAAATCACGAAAAACTAATCAAGTAAATCATATTTAGCTTTTAAAAAATGTGGACAGACTGACAATCATTGACAACCAATTTCGACAGGTTAACCACAAAAGCTCATCGCTGCTTAACGAGCCTACGAGCGAATGGGCTACAAGATTTTTTTCTATCTATCAATTTGTGTTCTGTGGTTAGTGCTGCGTGGTGTAAATGGGTAACAAAAAACGCCATTAGCCGTGTAAATATGTACAATGATCGTGCTTGCATCGTGCGGCGTTATCCACTGCACATTGGGCAGTCATGTTCTGTGCGTTTACACTACTCTTTACCGAGAGATGGCGTAGCACTAGCCGGCTTACATCGTGTATCTTGAGCTACACTGGCGCTTAACCAGTGGCCACCATATAGCTACGCTAAGCCCTCGTTTACCTCAGCGAACGGGATCAATGGGTTCATCTTACGCTCTCTCTTGGCACATATTAGTATAAACGCAGCGACCAATACGCTTGTTTAGTGTTTTCTGGCTAACACAGCACGGTGTAAACAAGCCACTAACCACGCTTGTCAAGCTACTTGAATGTTCACTTCCACCTTTATGTGCACATAAATCTAGACAAATATGTAACACCTGCAGAAATACAAACCCATGCAATACGTACTGTTAATTACGTAAGGAATTGTAAATCACACCCGACTATGACTGAGAATAATAGACATGACGTTAATTTAGATAATTTATTCGTCAATGCTGATAGAGAATATAATTTTAAAACTATTCCTAGTAGCTGTTTTTCAAGGTTTGCTAAAGAAACTCTGCTAAACCTGCAGGAATCTATCCGTTGATTCTTTGACGTCATCACTCGGATAGCTAATAAAATGATTTGTATAAATATTCTTATGTATGCTGTTGTATATAGGTATAATGTTGTCAATAAATGCTATGATATGGCATAGCATGCACTGGAACATTTTTAGCAATCAAGCGCTCCTTGCAATGCTGGTAGTGGTGCAGTGAAATAACAAGAATATTGCAATCTGGGGAAAAAACTAGTAGGGACGGATTATTTGTCAATTCTTAACTTGAATATCGTATTCTTTTCCACTCATTTTGAGAAAGATGTAAAAGTCTGGCGTAGAAGTGAGAGAAATAGTCTAAACTGAAAGCCCTTTTGAGGCCATGACTTAATATCTCTTCACGCATCGAACAATTTCTTGGTTAACAAGTAATATCCCTAGTGCAAAAACTTTTTAATAAATCTCTCAGAGAGAAAGCGGATAGAAAAATGCACTAAAGTGCCCAGTGGAAAACAATATGTTTTACAAGGCACAAAATAAAACACTGGAAAACTAGCAACGCGCATCACTTTTCTTTGAAAGGCATCGTCATTTAAAAGTAAAACTTATCCAGTGTTTTATTATGAAACTTCCAAATTGTGCTATTTGGTCGCTATTATAGACGTGACATAACGTATCCTCAAACAGCATAACGGACATCAAACTGCTGGAATCCCGCTCGGGCGAGAACAAATCTTCTCTCTCCGTGGAATCAGGGGGCAGCAGCAGTGGGGGCGGCGGCGGAGGAGGGCACAGTTCCTCCAGCCATTCAACGAGAGGCGGTTTAGCGTGGACGCCGCCAGCGTCCGTAGAGGGCAGCACGCCGACATGGACGGAGGGCACGCCGTCGTTCACGGAGTCGTCTAGTAGCGGGGATATGGGTGAGTGGAATGATATTTGTTGATTTTTCTGGCTTTGGCTTATGTCATGCATGGCGTCATTGCTTATGGGTGCGATGTTTTGATGTGCCAGGGTGAGCTCATATATGACAAGATACTAACATCTATCTTTAACCTTACGCAATTAGTCTTGCATTGCTCCCACTATTGGAAGCATCCTCAGAAGTTAATCAGTTCAGCACCTCCTTTACGCCGCCGTGATGAGTTACTTTGAGTTGAGAGTCCATTTTGGCGAACAAAGGAGTTTCACAATGCCTAGGGTGGGTGCTGTAACGTTAGGATAACTTTTTTGCCAAAACATTTTGCTCAGATGGACGAGGGTTTTGCTGATGTAAGGCAACGCACAAGATTTTTCACCACTAAAATGTTGCTTATATTATCTGTCACCTCTTTTTACAACACCCTAAAGAAGTTATTTTCGAAAGATAAACATAAAACGTACCAAACGTGCTATCGACTTTAACCTTGAAATGAAACTGAAAGGAATGTCCGCCAATCTTAGGCAGATGTTCACCAGCAATACAGTGTTACTATTTCCTGGGTAATCACTAAATTCCCGAAACTCAATTGTCATGCTACATATAGGAAAAGGTAAATTGCTGTGATTATAAAAAAAAAAACCGTATGTATAAATCGAGCGCAAATCACTTGGACTGTTCTCGAAATATTGGCAAACGTATATCTCGAACCGCTCTCAATACACAAATAATTGCTTTCGTTAATTGCGGCTGGACACAGTGCTTTAGAAATTATATAGGTCCACAATAGATCCACTTGGGTCGCAGTGACGTTAAGGCTGGCAAGCCAACCCCTTTCTTCTATAATCTGCAATTGCGCTACAGTGTCATAAATTTAAAACATCGATTTTGGTGGTACTTAAAAACGTCGCATCACTAGCAAAATCTTTCAACTTAGATGATAATTTCAATTCCGTTTATTTTGGTTTCATAATAATTTTTAATGATGATAATGTAATTAAAGGCACTCATTCGATAATCTGAAAAGTATATATCAACGTTGAACCGAAATAAATGGATTGATATTTTTCAACATCTTGGGCGATTAGCATCCGCTTAGCATCACCATTTTAGTGACAGGCACCCTCTATCTAGATTAGATTATTGATTATTCCAATTTATCGTTTTTGCACTGTTATTTTTTTGTTTTGCTTCTTCCTCATGTTGGAATATTTATATCTCATTGAACTTTATAATTGTAAATGGCATTTTAACGAAGAAGATTTTGTAATAATCAATAAGGCTAATATATTTGTATATAATCATTACTCAACATTTTAAAAGTACTTCTCCTACGTTTGAATAAAAAAATTGTAACTAATCTCTCGTAAGCCTGTTTTTGTTTAAGAACTATCCACAATGCGAGCAACATGACATTTCACCTAGAACAGTCTCGATTGATGCCAGTAAAACAACAGCCCGATCAACGCGCGCATAATGATTAGTACATATACTGAAACATGCAGATTTTCCCATAAAAAAAATCTCGTTGAAGTAAATAACACCCATAAGTACCTACGATAACCTAATCTATAGTGATCTAAGATCCAAATTTTATTCAGAACCATGCCAAGAAAGGTTAATTTTGAATAGCAACTAAATGTTCTTGTGTCAGAATTTTGAGAACCAACCAGTATCAAACATGCTTATTCGAAATATTAAACATGTTTGATATCCAACTGTCTGCCCGCGGTCTATTAAGTGCGCCATTTGCTGATCGAGCTTGGACTTTGCTGGTATCATTCTAACACTTATCGGATAATTTACGTACTAAATAGATGAATGAATTTCGGGCTACATATAGACAGGCCTACATCTGAGCTTATCACCAAGAGGCTAATTATGTAATATAACAAAAACATCCAAACTTGTCACTTCTATTTTTTCAAATGTGTGAACGGGGAGCTTTGATTTCTATTTGACATATAACTAAATATGGAGCTTGATGCTTAATGTCGAAACTAACATGGAGTATCTTCGATGCTTTTGAATGGAAAAATTAATGGTCCTTCACATTTACGTTTCAGTCAGCTAAAGAAGAAAAAACGGATACAAGTACTTTTAAGATGTTTGTGGGCGCAGTGACATCCTTTTTGATATAGAATATCAGATCTGATAATAAACCAAACCATACTTCCTATGATGTATGAGTTGTCTAATATTAGAGCTCATTTATGTACCCAATTTCTGTCGTGCTACAGTGCCATTCGACATTTTTCTATATAAAGGTGTATCTGTCTCTTTGTCGAGTCAGAAAGAGGACATTTTCGAGTATCATTGCTGCGCAATAAGTCCGGTCCATGAATAACTACCATGGGACTGACCTACCTGTATAGTCATTTCTCGATGCCTACTTACTCTGAGGTCGCTTTATTTGCCTTGTTACTTGCTAGAGAGTGTCAAACATTACAGTTTTGTAGAGTGATTTTCAAGTAAAACTTATTATGATTCAAATGATTTTCGATATATTTGCATTTCAACACTATTGTACTGTCAAATGGCTGGCCCTAGAACAGATCCATTAAGAGTGGAATACCTTCATCACCAGGAGTGAACGTAGTCGTCATTGTTCATAGCTTATAACATTATTAACCAACTGTGATTCACAAACCTGTATAGATATGGGAGCCAAAATGAGTAGTCCCTTACATCCGTTGAGAAAAGTAGTTAAACAAGAAAGCATGAAGGCTACGACTATTGAAGGTAATAAGGAAGTATCAGATCGAAAACTGGCGCCGTCGTTTTTAGGAAAGATATTTGGCAATTATCCAGTCACTCTCACGTGTCGAAAATGTCAAGGTAACTAACGCCTGATCAAAATAAGGAGGCATCAAGTGAAGAAACGATAATATATTTGATGGACTGTCTAAAGAAATCGCATAGTTTTTCGTACCTGTATAAAAGAACTCGTATCATAATCCAAAATCATGTCACACCCACACAGTAGACATAGAAGACCTAAAGAGAGTATAATAAGAGCGCACAAACTGTGCGCAAAATAATTGAGGCTGGTAATCCACGACAGGATGTCCGACGACACCGCTACGCCCCAGTGGGGCCTCACAGGTGGCTGCACAGAAAGCGCACCATAAGAAGACCGTCGAACATGCCATCAACTGCCTGACTACGGAAATGGTGAGTGGACAAAAGCGCTAGGACTATGACCATTGTTAGAATGACACATCCATATCGCCAGTCGGTTTACTGATGTCTCACGTTATCTGTACGAAAGTAAGGCATTTGGTTTCGCTACGTATTTGTACAAAGTTTCACGATACAAATGCAAAACGGAGTTTCACATTCATTCAAGCATAATCAGACTGGCATGTACGGATATGGCAAATCAAAAGTGAGCGAGTTACAGCAGTTCAGCAGTGTGACATTGCACTGATACCTGAAAGTTGTGCAAAGTTTTGTTTTAAGTAGCTACTACACGTTATATCGGCAGGGTCATTATGTAAAAAACCTATATAATGTCAAAAAAGCGATAAAATATCAACTTGTTGACTAAGTAGGCTAGTGTGCAAATAGTTCATTCCGCACTTGCTACAAGTGAGCATGAAGTGAACGACAGCTAGTTCTTAGGTGACGTCTTGTAAGAAAGCCTACATATCGTCGTAAAAAGCCTACATAATGTGTTACAAAAAGCGGCCTAATGTCACTTTTCAAGTTACGTAATGCCCCTGCGGTGCTTCAGCCTTTGAACTCAATGTTTTAAAGGGCGTCCCATGGGGAGTCATTTTTCGGCGATATGATTTAAACATTTTATCTTGCGCATGTCATCTAGAGACTCGGACGTTTAATTATGGATTATATCGTACGAAGGAGGAACGCGTCATAGTTGTACAAACGTATTTGGAAAGTAATATGCACCTAAACAATACCTTCTTTCAACGATATGTAATCAACTGTCATATGGAAAAGATATTGATGGATTAGAGAGATTGGTGATCTATCGAAACGCTCCCCTATCAATCCATGTTTTAATCTGGGATCAGCATTTTAGTGCTTGCATCATGCTGCCATCTAACGAAAAATGCCTCTATTTCGTCACGTCTAACTTCGGCGCCTTGTTATAGAACGTGCATCTCTCATCAGCCAGCAAATCAATTAGCGGGATGCCAGCCAGAACAAGTAGTGCATCAGTAGATACCGTTATCTAAGCGCATACCATGCGCAACACCATGTTTCTCTGATTTCTTAGCATTAGCGGTCTATTTTTTTTTCTCAAGGCCTTGCTATAGATAGGCGCTCCATACAACATATTAAGAGTTTGCCGCCCCTGCCAAAATCATGCGCCTCTCACTACTGGGGCCTCCATCAGATGGCATTAGCAATATCAGAGATGCAACGACTTTATTTACCTTTTCAGTGATCTGAGTCATAACTTGAAAATTTTGATAAATTGTTCATTTTGCGATCTTGACCTTCCTGTATAAATTATCCAAAAAACAGAAAAAGCAAGTAGTGAGGTGGAGAAGATATTGAATAATATAATTTTTCGATGAAAAATTGGGGACTCTAGCTGTAACAGTTGCTGAGGAACGAGTTGTCTAAGTTCCTTCGTTTGAAAAGGCCTATCTAAATATATGTAGGGGTTTCCATGTTTGTTAAAAATATTTTCCAAGTAAGGAGTATACTCTTGGCTAGTATTTTTGTAATCACCTTTTTTGGAAACCATGTGCAATAGCGGAGTTATCGACTGAGCCCGCACTAAAAGCTCATCCTGTATGTATATTAATAATGACCTGGAGTAAAATGTTTCACAAGTTATTAGGGACATTGAGCCGCCACTGTGCCAAAATGTTACTCGAGATTTTAATCAAAAAATGGTCATCTACAGAATCAGCTATTTGAGGGCTGTTTTTAGAATTTAACATAAAACATAATTCCCATAGTTCTACATTCCGTTAATATAAAGCATATTTTCAAAAAAAAATGTTTTAAGTACTTACTGGGACGCCATTTACTTACTATTGTACTGTACATATTATAATGCAGTTACATCAGCTAAACAGGGTAAATATATTAGGTTTGAGGACTTATACTATTCGTTTTATATTCATGCTAGGTCAGTGCGGGTGTCAGTCTGATGATCCTTCAATAAAAAGCGAAGCGCGTCACCTTGTCTGTCTTATTTATTGTTAAACTTTGTATAAATATTGCACTAATCGATCGCATGATGAATATACAAGATTTCTAGACGAGTCTTTATCATATCACATCGCTGTTACCTGTTTGTCTGAATCCTTACAATTACTTGCGTCAAAGCTTTTCTCTGTGTAGCGATTCCAAAGGTAATTATGAAATCTCAACTCACTATAATTTCCAGAGATTTTTCAATTCCCATCTGAAACCAAATGCCTTGACAGAACACTTTCTATTTTTAATTGCACCACTGATTGCTATATGTAAATCAGTTGTTATTACACGATTTTCGAGGAGATACATCGGAAAAATTCACTTTACCACAATTTTAATCAAAAGTGTTTAAACTTGGAAGAGTTTATATTCTGGGTGTTTTCTAAACATCCAATAAAAAACGCAAAATTTTATTTTCTCTAGAATGTTCCAAGAATATTTTTGCTCCATGTTTGGGCAACAATCCGTATAAGCGGTCAAAATTTGATAATCCTCGGAATTATTTTCATGCAATTATAATAACAAAATTACAGGTATTTCTGAATCTTTTTGTGATATTTAATTTTGTATAATTTAAAAAAATAACCATACTATAAAATGTTAACGTTTGCTGAACACAGCTTTTCATAGCTTTGAGTAATTTAACATTTTTGATGTATCTCCTTTGTATACGAAATTTTGGCCAGTATTTTACAACACTCAACACATAACACTGCTTTTTTCTTTCCAACCCACTTTCATTTAAGCATGCTTTTGTAGCTTGTTCCGTTTGGCCCATATAAATATTACTTTTTATGATTTGTCCAGTAGATTTTCGACTAACTTATTAACGGTGTACTTATTTGTGTAAGATTTTTTTCTAATTATTAATGTAAACATTTGTTTAATTCAAGCTGCATGCGTTTTAGTTTGAGCATTGTTTGCTATTCTGTTAGTTGGTCTAGGTGTACACAGTAGTGGAATATAGTTTCCACCAAAGGTATTGAGTGTGATGACTGTTATTATGAAAGAGCTTTCCAAAAAGTAATAGTCTGAGAAAGCACTATAAGTGTTTTCAAACTTCATAAATCCACTGCAAACGTAAAACATATGAAATTGTTTGAAAATAGCTATGTCGTCATAACGACAACAAAAGAGCTCGCTAAATACTAAATACCTGTCTCGTAATCCTTGACCACGTGTTGCTATGGAAACATGGGTAAAATTTTACGTTACATTTTATGAAAGCTAGCTAAAATCGCAGCTTTATATAACATAACCTAATTTATATAATTTGGTAATTTTTTGTTGCATATGGACTGATGACGGGATACTACATTATAAGGAATACTGTTGTGACATAGGCTGGCCCATAATAACCTGACTTATTCAAAAACCAAACAAGATTTTTCATAAAAACGTTCCAAAATTTATAGGTTAGAAGGTACATCCAAAAATAACAAAAAAAAAGTTCCTATTAATATGGGTCCAAAGATGCTCCCTTACTGAGATGCAGGGTGATAAAATTTTATTTACGAAATTGAAAATAAATATATCTACGGAGCGGGTAAAGATACTGAGTTAAGTTTTTAGTCATTCAGTTCATCGGCAATAAACATACAGTTTCCCGAACCAAACTAGCGTAGAAACTGGGGTACCTAGTAGAAAATATTTTCTCACCACTGGCATTTTCGGAGAAAATAAGTACATTTTATAAAATACCATTCAATTTTCCATGGATTTTGTCTCTTAAAGAATGTTTGTTAAAACACTCATTTTAGAGATATTTAATTTTGAATATTTGAGGTAAAATCCTAAATATTCTTATGAAAAAAGCGTGTAGCTTGATATTGGAAACACTATATGGCTTACGAAGAAAGCTATGCCACCTCATTACAATATTAATTGAATAATAGGCGTGTCTTATCCTCAATCAGTAGCGTAGAAGCTTACCATTCATTAAACCTTTCCTATGCACGTCACTGGTTTTGCCAGCATATGCATTTTGTGTTTATAGATAAAGGAACTTCATAAATAAATAAAGCTAATAAGAATTAAACACGACCACAATAAACATATCACATTTGATACAATTTATGTGGTTATTTTTAAGTTTACGACTACATAATATTGGGTACAAATGATACCGAAGAAATTCTATAATATCCAACCTAAAGGACGTGCTGAAAGTGACCACCTCTGGATTCAACACAAGCCCGTGCTCTACGCTACAAAGACTTTCTGACTGTGTTGAAAGCCTTCTATATATCTCAAATATTCAAACCTAAATATCTCCAAAATGAGTGATGTGACAAAAATTCCATAGGAGACAAAACTTATGGAAAATGAAATGGTATTATATAAAATGCACTTACTTTCTCCGATAAGGGCAGTGGCGTTTTAAATATTTTCTATTAAGGTACCCTAGTTTCTACGTCCTGGTTTAGTTTGGGCCCTGTGTTTATTGCTGATGATGTGCTCACTGTACGTCTAAAATCCTAACTAGTATTTTTATCCGCTCCGTAGATATACATATTCTTTCCTAACTTTCGTAAATAAAAGTTCAGCACCCTGTATCTCGGTGGGGGAGCATCTTTGTACTCATGGTTATAAGAACTTTTTTGTTATTTTTTAATGGACTTTCTACCATAAAAAAATGTTACAGCCATTTATTGTCTGAATATCAAATTATCTAACTGTCGTCCCTCGCGAGAACGACAGTTTTCTAATGTGGATCGTAGATTTTTTAAATTTTCTTTAATGTCTGTCGGGCGATCAGTCACGCCTTTGTTCATACGAAACGTTCGTTGTCGCTCTTTGCCGCGTGGTTTAAACATAGTAACCAAACCACTTAATCCAGGTCTTGATTAAATTATCATTGGGACACTGCCTATTGCTGAGTAAGCCATGATAGCTCTCGTTTTTCCGTAAACTGATCCATGCCATAACAACCGACGGTGCTTTCTTCCTTGCTCCAGCCGGCATTGCCAAACAAAAGTCGTCTATTATAAGAAAAAAGTGGATTACGCGGTTGCCGAAGACATCGTGTCTGTGATCCATGCGCAAAGAACTGTAACTTAACTTGTAGGATTTATAACAGTTTCCAATATCATTTATATGTCTTAAGAAATATTTGTATAAACATATTGTACCATGCTTCTACTTCATGTTTTCAGTAATAATTTCATTACAGTCGTCAATTTTCCCAAAATAGATTTAAACGGCTATTTCAAAGACCACTATTTTTAACTGCGTCTAACGATTTTGCATGTCAGTGCGATTTTCTAAATATTACCGTACAACGCGACTTATTTCTAGAACAGCAAAGTGATATTTTATTGATCGACCAGCCAAAGATTGCTAGGGACGAAAGGGGGAAATGCGATGAAAAAACCTTACCATTAGACGATTTTATATGGAGTCATAGGCGGAGATCGGAGAGACTTGAATTATTAATTGAATTTATATTTTATTACAACTGGTAGTATTAATATTTTTTTGCGATTCATAATGACGTGATACCAAACATACATTATAAGAAATAAATATACACAAACACTGAATATTGAGAACAAAATAAATATATTTTTTAGGCAACAAGTAATATTCCTATGTACGCATTATGATTGAACAGCAAAACAAATTATGCATTCTTCTAAAATAGAATACAACAAGTCAAAAATATCTGACTGAATAGAAAAATATAGGAAAACAAAAAGTAATTTCTTGATGAAATAACCCATAAACAACACATAGAATTAGACTTTCTACTGAGATACTAAAAGCCACAAACCAATAGTATAATAAATGAATATCTAAAAATTCTAAAAGGTAGCCAATCTAGTATAGTTTCAATCCTGATTAGAGTCATGATCACTGTCTGAGGAACTGTCATTGCTATCACTTTCACCTCCTATGTTGATTATTATTTCTTCCTGTATTTCTTGAATGAGACTGTCTTTTTCCCAATATTCATCTTCAATTTTTATAACATGTCCAATAACCTTTTGCCAGTCACTGGCACTTACTGAAGCGATGGCCTTATTAGAAATTTCATCTAGTTTTTTTATAGTAAATTCGCCGCTTGTATTATGGCTTCTAATGAAAAATTTTACTTGTGCCCAAATCATCTCTATGGGATTAAACTGACACATATAGGGTGGCGTTCGAAGTGGGGTGTGTCCGAAACTTCTTATTAAATTATCTATCTTATAATTTTTCTCATCAGATGGTGGCCTATGTAGACAAGCTATTTCATAAAGCTCCATTTTTTTAGCATTAGGATCATGCTCTATACCTTTTTTGCTCAACCACGTGATGATGTCTCTTTTTAGAGAAGATCTAGTTGGAGGCTTGTCTTCCAAAGCTGAATGGTAAGGTGCATTATCCATTATTATAATACTATTAGGAGGAATGTTAGGAAATAGTTTTTCAGTAAGCCACTTCGTGAAATTTTCTTGGTTCATTTGACCGTGATAATCACCAGTGGCACAGCCAGCCTTGAAAATGAGACAGGCTCCAGGAACAAAACCATCTTGCGAACCCGCATGAACAATTATAAGTCGTCCTGGAAATGAATAAATAGCCTCATTTTAGTGTTATTTTAAGTTTGCCAACACCTTTTTGAATCACTATGTATAAAAAACATATTTTTGAGAAAAAAATACTTGCAAGGGATTATGTATTCAATTAGACAAATTAAATGAGCACTTATTAAGAATATTCCAAAATTGAGAAAAATGTATAATAAGCAAAATCGAGGTGAAAGAAACTTTATTACCTGTAGAACTTATATTGCTCAGGACACCCATAATTTCTTCGCTTTGCCAGCATTTCTTGAAAGTGAGGTCATTATCAACCCAAGTTTCGTCCAAATAAATAATATGCCTTCCTTCTTCCCGGAACTTTTTAATAGACCTAAGATACTTGTATCGCCAATGTAAAATACTGGGTCTTTCCATTAGTAATTTCCTTTTGTTGTGGCATTTACGCCAGTAAAATCCTTTTGCTTTTAAAAGCAGCCTCAACGATTCTTTACCAAATGGAAATTCCATTTCTTCCTTCAGTTTGATTAGAAGTTTACTACAAGTAGGTACCACTTTAAAATCACAGTAAAATTTTTCTATCATTCTCCGAATAATGGAAAAATCGACTCCATCAATTTTTTGGATCACAGAAGGGCGTGATCTCTTTTTTCCGGGAGAAGCTAAAGGCTGTGTGGAGGTTGCATTTTGCCTGTCTTTATCTTCTTTTCTAATTTTACTTATAGTTCGTTCACTAACACCCGTATAATATGCCGCCCTTGCATTTCTAGCTACCAGTGGATAAACGAAAGTATTGTTAGCCGCTTCTGCATCGCAAGCACGTATCACGTTTGCTATTATTTCCCTTGCCTGGCTGTGAATAACTTTCCCATGCTTGAATTCCATTATCACCACTAAACAGTAAATTATATTTTCAAAGTATTTGCCAACTGCCTACGCCTATGGGAGTAGGTTTATAAATGACCGTGCCATCGGCACGTTATTCTAGTTTCAGATAAGATAAGAGTTTTGGACCAATCAGCGACCGGATGTTTACCTGCGGCCTGGGTTTTCCAGCTACATTGCCAAATTCAGCGGAACAATTCTATATCTTAAATATGTTAATATGTATGGACCGCATTTTATGTAGAACATCTGACAACTTCGCAATTTTTTGTCCGCATTCTTTCGGCTTGCAATCTTTCGCTGGTCCAACAGTACTCTCCTAATACACAAATTACCGTTTTTTAAATTCAATGAGGTTCCTAAACTTTCAAAACGATTATTTGATCGGGAGAACTCTGTTTAAACAGTCTTCATATTCAATACTGATCTTGGTGTGTACACTAGCAAAATTATAACCTTTATCTTTTCTGTTTTGTTTGCGATTGGATACCGTAGGAACAACTGAAGAGCCGCGTTGAAACGGATTATCAATGATGAGTAAGAGCGAATTCCTATTGGCTGAACGTTGAATGTGATAGTGTAATAGCACACTGATGATTCTAAATATACGGAAAGAAACACCCGTAGCTTGGCATTCTACCATCTTATTTGTTACTGGCTTTCAAGCTTGAGGTTAAAGTGGGGATTATCAATGATTTGTGGCAATTTCTCTGTTTAGATTAGACTAGTGTACTTATATATCTTGCTTCCCTTGTTATAGACACGGAAATTTTTGTCAATGTTTTTACACCGGGCAATCTCATTTTTTAATGCGTGATTAAATTATCTTTTATGTGAAGTTTGCAGTTATTTTTCGTTTCTAGTTATTTGAAAAGTGATCAAGTGAATAGTCTGAAGAGTTTAAAATCGCTTTGAATTTTGTGATAGAAAACTAAATTGGACTTTAACCACATTTCATTGCCATCGGATCGAGTTTCATTAAACTACAAAATATCACATTTAGATTAAAAAGACTCAGCATACAAACTCTGAATATGCAGTAATCTCAAAAAGAGCTTGTCTGTACAGAATTTTATCTTGCAGTGATAGGAAAGCAAATAGAAAGCGAAAATAACCGTTTGTAGTCTCTAAATAAATGAAATATTTACTTTTCATGTTCTTTATGTGATTATTAGTTTTGGTGCTACAATGTTGGCGACACCTTGAGTATAGACCTAGTTTATCGAAATACTATGCTTGCTGAAAGCGTCAGTGGATAACGGTCCCTCTTAGCGAGACAATCAAAGGATAAGTACATATCGACAACGACGCAATGCGTGAACTGGTGCAGTAGCTGTGGCGGTCACATCATTCCGATGAATTGACCCAACGACTATAAAAAATCTAGAATAAACATTAAATATGGGACGAAATTACCCTATTTAGCCCCAGTTCCAGCCTTTGAGTAATAGTAGCTGAATTAAGGGGTGTTCACCCCGGCGACTCAGCTGCATCAGTGCTTGATCGGATTGAAGAGCAGTGGGGGCTTTGGCGGCACCTAGACGATCTCGATTCGCCCAGGAATGAGTCATGACATCCCCTCCTGGATCAGATTCGATTTGGCATTGGATAGAGCGGGGCCAAATCGTTCCTTTTGGTGTTTCGAGCCCATGGTTTCGATTCCGATCTCGGGACTGATTCCTTCTATTCGTTCACGATTCCTTTTAATTCCAATTCGCTAATTCCAAAACGTACCATCGTTGGTGACGAGCGATACAAAGGAACAAACGAAAATTCATGGGGTTGATTTTCAACGAAGGGCTTGAAAGGCAAAAGCTTCTGTTAGGATTCGGATTTTGCTTTTAATTTTAAAGATTCCAAATGGGTACACTTACCCGTTGGACGGTTACGGAGTTTGTAGTATGAAACAGGTTAGAAGGGGTGTTGAGAGGCAGTAACTGATAGTCCCCCGTACGTAATTTGGCGATTTGACTTTTTTTTAATAGAAGTTGTTTGAAAATTTTAAATTACTTACATACGATTTTTAGTTGGCAATCAGTGGTTTAGACTTGAATTTGAAACATTGAGAGACTTGTCGTTCATTTTTGGGGGTAACACTCAGTTCAATGGCGGAAGGGTAAGTTACAGCTACTGCTCATGTTAGAGACGGTTTCGCTCTCTGAAATGCTTTACAGTTTGTTTTCTTCTATATCGCTAAACCCTTTTTAATCTATTCTTTAATCTTGTTTAATGTTATTTTTGCTCTCTCGGTTGCATCTTTCATGATAAATTCAGCACCAAAATTACAATTCAACCGTCCATACTCCAAACTACAGACCACAATAATTAATTCATAGATCGTTACTTGTTTGGAATCATTGGAATGAGAAGTGCGAGGATCCGTGTTGAGGTAGCGGCGATACTCAAATCAGAACGATATCAATCTACCACAACTGTACGGCATTCATCTTGCGCGATGCTTAAATGTCAGGATTGAGGGAATTGAGGCAAAACTGCAAAATCGTAACATCTGTTTTGCAAGTGAAGTAAGACATACAGACATGAGGCTGTCAAATTTTATGTCTGACTCGCTTGTGAAAGAAATATCGTTACTTTTAAACTGAGATTAGGTAAAACATAAGTGCAATAAAATGAAGTGAAATGAGCTTATCTAAGATTCTGTGTAAATAGAACGGGACTAATTGTCACATAGAGGGATGTAGACAGGATATAAAACAACAACATAGATAGTAGATAGATGGTAGGTAATAAATATGATAATAAACTGGGTATATATCACATTTTTAGTTCGCCTGAATAGTGTAGGAAACAATCTCACTTCCATGTGATAAATATTATTATCTCAAATAAAGTTTGTTTGAAGATTTGTGAAAAATTTGTTCACATATTTGACAAGATAATTACGATTTTCATCAACATTGAATTCGTTTTTTCGTCTGGAATAAACGTCCCACTTGAACTTCAACTGAGGTCAGTTACAACAAATCGAGTATTTTTGTAATATAATGTATTTTTGTAAATTGTTTTAATTGGTTTTGTAATTGACTTGGTTTTTATAACTAACAATAATAATTTTGTGTGGTTTTGAAAATACATAATACACTCATTACTGAAACATGAACTAAGCTGTCCAGTCACATCCATAATACCCCTAAACATTTATTCGTAATAAATTTGCCAAAAAACTTATACTATTGCGCCACTTTTCTATTAATGAAAGAAATGATTTGATTTATCTATTAGTGTGGGAGCAAATAATATATACAGGGTGCGGCAGAGAGGATGTACGGTTTTAAAAAATCATAAAATAGTTATTTTTACTCGAAAACAAATTTATTGATGGAATCAGGTTCACAATTAAATAGCATTTGAGACAGTCAAGTGTGGAAAATCACATCAGGCATGTGGTGGCCGAAATCGTTGATGCAGTGCTGGAGGCGTTCTTGGAAGTTCGCGTAGACTCTCTCCATCATCGCTCTCTCAACTTGGGCGACTTCCACGCGAATTTCGCCCTTCAATTCGTCCACAGTTCGGGGCTTGTTCGCGTATACTCTAGCCTTGAGGTGTCCCCATAAGAAAAAATCGCATATGGATAAATCTGGGGACCGAGGAGGCCAATGAACATCGCCAAACCTGTAAATAAGGCGACCATGGAAGAGAGGGCGAATAATGTCCATGGATGCTCGGGCTGTGTGGGTGGTCCCCCCATTCTGCTGGAACCACGCACGTCGGATTGGAACACGTCGCCGTCGTAATTCAGGGAGAAAGAAGTTGTTGATCATGTCGATGTAGCGCTCCGAGTTCACGGTAACATCACGACCATTACCGTTTTCGAAGAAGTAAGTTTGCGATACAGCGCACCAAACCGTTACTTTTGGCTTTCGTGTAACTGTTGCGGATTTTCATTAGCCCAATAACGACAATTCTGCTGGTTAACCATGTTGTTTAGGTGAAAGTGGGCTTCGTCACTCATAAACAAAATGAGGTTCTCATTCGTTGTGCATAATCACCGGGCTGTAACTGTTGCAAAATGACCAATTTGTAGGGGTGAAAGCGGAGATCCATATGCAAAATTCGCCTTACCGAACGATCACTAAGGCGAAGTGCAGCAGCATGTTCCCGGGCAGATCGAGTCGGACTGCGAAGAAAGACCTGTCGAACGCGTCCAACATTTTCAGGAGTTCGAACTGTTCGCGGCGCTCCTCTTGGTCTTCTGTTGATCAGTTAACCACACCTGCGAAGTGATTCAACCCAACGAAGGATGGTGTTTCGAGAGGGAACAGCTCTATTCCGATGAATGTTGAAGTGGCGACGAAACTCACGCTGTACGACGATGACTGACTCATTATTTCGGACGAAACAATCATAGGCGAAAACGCGGTGCTCCACCGTCCAAGGCTCCATAACGACAACTGGTAAAATAATGCTAGGATCTCACGAGTCAAACGGCACCCTCCCCACCTCTCTCGTAGACGGAGGCGGAGAGTACTACCCATCCCAAAAACGTCCGTCCTCTCTGCCGCACCCTGTATATATATATATAGGTGAAAAATTAAAGCTTCCGCCTTTTGTTGGGTACATACGTAAACAACAATTAGCAACATCCTCACATACTACTGTAAGTTGAGTCAATTTAAATTCATTTTACACTTTTGTTGCTACTGTTATCATTGTAATTGCAGCTCCTGATGATGATGGCAAAGTCCATTGAAAGCTAGAGAGAATTAAGAAAAGTATAAAGAGTCCCTCTTTGCTTAAATTTTGTCGAAGTACCCAAAAAAAGGCGGAAGCTTTAATTTTTCACCTAACTGGTCTAGACGACAATGACCACGTCTGAAGTCATATATATATATATATATATATTTCAAACAAAACCGCTTTTATGAATTTAGATTTTATCCCCTGATTTTATTCCCCATTATGTTTAAAAACAAAATGTGTATTTCATTCACAGATAATTACATACACGAATACTTTCCACACATTTGCTATTCATACAGCTTGACTTTCTACCTTCAGTGAACATGTTTCATATTGCAGATGCTAACACTCTTTTCTCTTGCTTTACTTCTAACTCAAACTGAATGACTGTGAAACTAATTCAAATCATAATTATTGTTCTAGCGCATTGAAACAAAATCCATGTATGTCAAGTGGAGCAATTGGTAGGATAAAAACCAAGTTAAGCATCTTTTTTTGTATAGTATTGATGAATTGACTTGTATGAACATCATATTCTCTCATTTTCAAAGAAGCGATGTTTGAAAACAGTTTCTAAATTAGCAGCACACTCTGAAATATCAGTTTCTCATATACTTATAGACGGAGTATTAAAATTATCTGATACACACTACAAACAAACAAAAAAGGGAATTAGTCTTTTGAGGAAACTATATTTACTAACTATATTAACTATATATCCAAGAATGAGGTATACCACGACAGGACACAGTGCGAAATACCTTTGAAGTTTCATTGACCTTTTCGCTTTAAATTGGTTTGCCACTCCATTAATGGTTGCTTATTGTACGATAAAAACAGAGCCATTTATGAGCAAGCGGCCACCGAGGGCATAGAAGCGCAGCACAAGTGTATGCAGTGTTGCCAAATTGCTGGAAAATGTTTAGAAACTGCTATATTTATAATGATTTGAATGAATTTGATAAATACGCATGTTATATTGTATATGAAATGATGTCTTTTGTGATTGCTCTGATTAATACATTTGCATATTTATAAACGTATATATTTCAAATGAGATATATTTGGTAGTTTGTAAATTGAAGCCTAAACGAAAGTGAATTCAAACAAAAAATGCTTATCTTTCATTTGCTTCTTTTAAATTGTTGGCCAATCTATCTGTCTACAATTTTATTCACTTTCTCCGGCTTCCCCTTGTATGCCTCATTACATTTACCGGGGATTTCAAGATCGACCCTCACCATTGGAAGCAAAGTTGCGTATTTAGGTAACTAATAAAATGCCGCTTAGAGTTTCGAAATTTAAAGTACCCCCGAAGAGAGACGGAAAAAACAGAATTTTCGCAAAATCGTTTTATATTTTTCCTGACTTTATTTGTTCAAAAATCCAATATGGAGTCCATAATAAAAAACGACATATTGAAATTCTGATTATGCCTCTTGTACATGAGAAAAAGTGACAATGTTAATGTGCAATTTATTTTGAAATCACAACACAAATAAAGTCAGGAAAAAATTGAAACGATTTTGGGAAAGTTCTGTTTTTCTGTCTCTCTTCTTAAGTACTTTGAAGCTTTCTAAGCGGCATTTTGTTAGTTACCTAAATACGCAACTTTGCCCCCATTTAAGCGACTTCGTATCTCTTACCGTTTCCGCGATCCCAATGGTGAGAGTCGAATTTGAAACATCCGGTATAGAGACAGCACAAAATAATAAGGTAATTTAAATTAATCATATCTCCAATGAAACAAGTAAAAATCGTGAATTGATTAGAATCCATTCAATGGTAGATTGAAGAGACACCTGCCACTTATGCCAGCATGATTAACAACCCTTAGGATAAACTGTACCATTATGTCAAGTGTAAAACAACTTTAAGTAAATTATATGCGATGCAGGAACATACTCGTATATGATATTGTTAGGACAGTAAGAGTAGTAATGCTACAAAGTACAGATAATACTTTCGATGACCCTTTGTCACTTGAAGGAATGGACACTGCGGTGGTTGTCAGGTATTTTTAACAGATAATGTTCTATTTTTGACAGAAAACATTCTATTGTTGAATTTATATTGCAAGCAAATCTCAATCTCAGTAGGTATATGCAGACATGAGAAATTTCAGCGTTTGTTGCTAAAATATACAACAGGACAATACGAAACTATGTAAATCAGTATTAATTTTAACTTAATTTTTCGAAAAATGTGCCTGTTGTCGATATTATATAAATATATAAACCTTGTATACATTCCAAGTAGTAGTCCTATGAATATCGCTTGAACTTTTGAGATAGAATAGGAATGATGTATATTGATGTAAAGAAATATCAGCACTATATTTTACTCATTGACGCATTTCAATACATCCATATACACTGTTGGCAAACATTATTTTGCGTGTCTTCATCCATTGCGAAGGTGTTGTAGATTTGTAGACTCGAGAATAGAGAACGTATGGACAGATTTTTTTGTGACTGCTTTTGCTTGTACACAATAGGTGGACAGATGTTATCATTGCCAACAGGGTGTACAATTCCATCCTCTGGCTTATGCGTTGTAGGAGTATATAGTATAGAAAATAGCCCACATTGTTTTTTGTTTAATAAATTTTCTTTGACCATTTAGATATAATTCTGATATACCATCAAATACGGAGTGTAAAGTTATATGGATGAATTAATTAAAGCAGATGATAGAAGACTTCAATACCTATCGAACTAACTTCTGTATGTTATCCTAAATTCAATAATTACAGAGATATTTCCACTTTTGTGAAACTTCAGAGATGATATCTCGAAGGAATTTTCATTAGTTGATAGTTTTAAAATCTCCAAATTTCTTCCAAAATCACTCAACGTTTAATTAAAAAAACCTTTCAAAATGATTTGCCATTGAATAATAAAATAATTCCGTCCTAATCGAACCTCATCAGTCCAGTTTTTTATTCGTCGACTATGTGTTCCCTTCACTGTTGTTTAAAAATAATTTCAGCAACAATCTCGCCGACTTACTCCAGACGATTAAGACATAGATCTTCGAAAGCTTGAGAGTTTAAGTTATAAGAGTGTACTTTTGCAATACTTTGCCTTCTACAAAAATAAATTAAAGGATACCTTCTCCTAACAGTTAAGGCAATTAACTATGAACACTATATATACAATTACTTGTTAATTGGGAAATTGGCAAAACTATTAGGCTAAAGTTGACTCTTTTGACGATAAAATCAAGCTTTCGGCATTCTCTATGGAGCCATCATCAGGATTCTGAAAACACAATTGTGATGCTAGCAAAGAAGACAGAAATGTCAGACAACTTACTCGTCGGTGAGGTTGCAGCCACAAGGTGTTTCAGAAAGAACGTAGAGAAGATCGAACTTGTGTTCAATATAAAAACAAAAGGGCGGGGACATTGGGCTTGTTAAAAAACGACAGATACCTTCGTTAAAAGTTAAGAAAAATAAAAATTATATCAATAAACCCGAAAAAGCTAAAAATACTGCATGTGGAGAGATATTTTGTTGAAACAATCGGAATGCAGTCCCTAACCTTTTACTACCGCTACACGTGGAGAGGGGGAAAGGCACGGAACGGTAAAGCGTCGACAGAAGACTAGGGGTGTGCTTAACAGTGAAATTTTAATATCGGTGATCACTGCGACTGCTATCAAAAAGTAGCTGCTACTGCAAGCTGTGAAATTATCACTCTTTATATAACAGTAACTATCACCTAAAATTCCGCGTAACGTAATAATTAATGAAGTCCTCTGCGAATATGAATAATAAAATATTTGCGTTTAGCGTTACTTACTAGTCTTTACTACTCAGCCTTCAGCTTTCTGCGATTTGACCGTTCCGAGAATGAGTGAATGAGTAAAAAAATACCTTTAAATAGTATTTATAATTAGGACATGGCTATATGAAGTACATATATTTAATTTGGAAAAAAATATATATGTAATTTAAACAATTTACAAAATAAAAAGGTATGAACATCGTAACAAAAAATCAAAGTAACAAATAGTAAAACGTATTTTAAAATATAAAAAAAATTATGCGTAATAAAAATACAACAAAAACTGCTGAAATTATTCTATGTATTCGCATTTAAAAAAAGTAACTTGTTAACTTTTGTAGCAGAAAGTCGTGTTCTTCTGTCACTAATTATCAGGCTACTTCTGGAGAACAGTCGTTCACAAGGTACGCTAGTTGCGACCATACAAAGCTGTTTTCTTGCCAAATCCGCCAAATTCGGATAGAGTTGTTGATTATTTTTCCACCACAGCAGTGGATCATCCTTTCTGGAAATGATGGTATCGTTACAGTACCTATCGACCTCCAAAATAGCCTGAGACGTAGCTGTCCCCTTAGGAATAAGATCGGCCATTTTATTGTCAAACTCTGCCCAGTATGACAGTACATTTTTTTCAGTACTATTGTCGGTTTCTTTTTTTGCTTCCAACCGTGGTTGTTGTCGGCCAGTGCTTGCTTCTGCAGTTTTTACATTAATAATAGCGGTCACTAAGTTAATTACTTGTTTTTTTATATCTTGGGCATGTTCTTGATTTTCAAATATATATAATTTGAAACGAGGGTCCAGAAACGTGCATACACCGATTGTTCTGCTTTTTTCCAAATCTGGAAAACGCTGTTCTAAACCAGCAACAAGCTGATCGGCAAAATTTGTTGAATTTTCGCAGTAGTTTAAATTAATAGCCTTTTTGGTAACGGAATTTAGACCTCTTGCAATTCCTATAATTACGCTGCCCGTTAAATAATTCTCACCACTAACTTCCAAAGTAGCTTCTTCGAAAGGCTTCAACAATATACAGATTTCCTCGCAGATTTTCCATTCCGTCTCCGACAACATATTTATTTTTGGTGCGTTTAAATTAGCGACGGTACTACGAATTGCTTCTTGGATTTTTACAAGCCGTTGAATCATGTGATATGTTGAGTTCCAACGCGTTTCGACATCTTGTATTACACATAACGGATTGTCATTCCCTAGTTGCCTTTGAGCCTTTAACAGTTTTTCTGTCGCTTGTGGGCTTCTTTTGAAATGATTCACTATGGTTTTTACTTTCTCAATTATTAACGTTTCGGATTTCAGAGCACTGCGTACAACAAGATTTAATTTATGCGCAAAACAACCGAAATGTTTCCACATCAATTCCTTGGTTACTGCGTTAGTAATGTTAGAAGCGTTGTCAGTAATGACTATGAGTATTTTATCTAGCAAACTCCATTCTTCGGCGGTGCGTTTCATTTCAGCGGCAATCTGTACAGCAGTATGTTCACCTTCAAATTTTATACATTTAATTAATTTGGAACGCAATTTGAAATCTTCGTCTATAAAATGTGCAGTTATGCCCATATAATTTGCCGTAGACGTCCAGTGATCAGTTGTCAAGCATATCTTTTTTACTTGATTCATCTGTTCCCGTGTACTTTCATAACATTTATTGTACATTTCATGAAGTAGAGAGTCTGATAAATATTTTCGCCCTGGCAAACTGTAATCTGGAGCCAATGCTGCCACAAAGTTTTTGAACCCTTCATCCTCAACTATGGAGAATGGTTGATAATCTTTAATAAATAATCCCATAAGGAGTTCATCGTAGCGCTTTTTCATAACGGGAGTAACTTTTTTTCTTACAAAATTATGTACTTTCTCTTGGTAAAGTGTGTGAACTTTATTCGGAATCAAACAATTTGAAACACTAAAGCTTGTTGATGCCTCGTCCGCTGTAGTGACCAAAACTGTCCCATTTGACGAGGGCATAGCCTTTCCATTTGTTGAATTTTTAGTTTGGGCTAAGGCTGAATCGGTACTGGTTGCATCTGACGGTGAAACGACTACAGTGGGATGTTTTAACGATAAATGCTTTCTTAAATTAGTTACGGATGTTTTAAAACTTAAATTTTGATAACAGTATCGACATTTCGCCATTTTATTTTCATTTTCTTCAAAGTGTAACCAGAGTTCACTACTTTTTCTCCTTTTATTAGGAGTTGCCATTCTTCTCAGTGCTGTAAATTATATTTAAATAAATGCGGATGTACCTATACGCAGTGTAACATTTACTTACCGGTACGACACAAACCAAAACAAACACGAATAAATACTTTGAAATACCTAATTGCGATAACAAAAACTGTAAGTTAGGTTAGCACATTTTATATCAATCCACCCTGCAAAGCGCAGGAATTTATACAAAATGAAGCAGTCAAACAGTAAACTGTGAAACTTTCTTTACCTAATTAGCATTTAGCAGTCGTTGATAAGCCGTCCAGCTGATAGATGGCGATCGCATTCACAAATCATAATTCATATTCAGAACAATTTCGCCTTTTATCTCGCATCGCACTCATCGAAGTATTGCAGTCGCACACGTACACGGTACGCAGACATGAGACAAGGTGTGCGACGTATGTGCGATACGCGCCTTCGCAGTTAAGTTAAACAGTGATATTTTCACTCTTTCGTGCAGAAGCGAGTAGCAGCTACCTAAATGATTTGTGAGTAATAGGTGAACAGTAGCAGTGAATGCGATCGCAGTCACTTCTCTACAGAAGACAAGTGATTGACGCGACGGAACGTGGAAATGTGCACCTCCCTGTCCAACTTTGGGTAAGTAAGTATACGAGGGACGCTCAGTAAATCTCCACCCAAAATTACTAAAATGCTGGAATAACTTGTTTTGGAAAAGAGTGTGTGGTTCATCTGAGTGCAAGAATGTGTGATGTTGATACAACCTTGAAAAGATGGGTTATGTGAGTGAGAAAATGTATTCTAATTTTGTGAAGATGTTGGATCAATTGTCCAATTTTTAACAAGCCCAATGTCCCCGTCCTTTTGTTTTTATACTGAACACAAGTTCGATCTTCTCTACGTTCTTTCTGAAACACCTTGTGGCTGCAACCTCACCGACGAGTAAGTTGTCTGACATTTTAAATCTGTCTTCTTTGCTAGCATCACAATTGTGTTTTCAGAATCCTGATGATGGCTCAAAGAATGCCGAAAGCTTGATTTTATCGTCAAAAGAGTCAACTTTAGCCTAAAAGTTTTGCCAGTTTCCCAATTAACAAGTAATTGTATTTTGTACCCAACTAGTCGTTGGCTTTGGCAATGACTACTTCTTCTCATATATATATATATACGTCAGCAGTAGTCATTGGCAAAGCCAACGACCAGTTGGGCACAAAATACAATTAATTGTTAATTGGGAAATTGGCAAATTTTTAGGCTTAAGTTGACTCTTTTGACGATAAAATCAAGCTTTCGGCATTCTCTATGGAGCCTTCATCAGGATTTTGTCGTTGAGGTTGCAGCCACAAGGTGTTTCAAAACGAACGTAGAGAAGATAGAACTTGTTATAAATATAAAAACAAAAGGACGGAGACATTGGGCTTGTTGATAACGACAGATACCTTCGTTACATGTTAGAAATATCAATACATCCGAACATATTAAACATGAGAAGACATTTTAGGGAAACAAACGGAATGCAGTCTCTAACCTCCAACTCTCTGTAACAAGCATGACGTTTTTGTTACGCACATTTACGTATGGACTAATGAAAGCTCTAAAAAAATTGGAATAATCTATTAAACGGACATAGATATGAATGAAAATATCGAAGAGACAACTTTTGTAGCTTACTGATCAAGTCACAAAATTGTTTTAACAACTTTTTTCTATATATCAATTTGCAGGACCATAAAAAATCAAAGTTTTTTGAGTTCCTGCCTACGGTAGGATCTGTAACTTTTCATTATCCTCAAGAACAGTGTTTGATTGACCTAAATCCAAATGTTCATCCATTTTGATGAGGTTTTGGGAAATTTTTGTCCTCTCTTACCGGGCTATAGGTATTGAAGTCCTCAGATATCTGGCATTCGTTGATTCACACACAACCTCTTATACTGTAAAAATGTCCTGAATATTGTATCACAATTATTATCATCGAAATGTGTATAACAAATAAGAGTAGCTCAAACCTCACAATCATGTTTTCAAATTTCGTAATTATGGAATTATATAATTGAGTTTCAGTTTAATTGGTTAATGCAATGCATTGTCAGAGTTGAACAGTTCATCAAACTGAATACCTAACTGAATAAAATAAATTCCTAATTCTGTTCTTGTTACTATTCGCATACGTCAAAGGATTGACTTTACATGTTCGCATACTTTTTGGACATCTCACGCTAAGTTAAAAATGATTTATTTATCGATTACTTTGTTTCCCCACAATATCAAATAAAGCATATTATTAATTATCAATTGCAACAAATGAATCTCCATTTTGAAGGGAGCTCCAAGTATCGTATGAATTATCCTCCGTGCATTGTTCGATTCAGGAAACAAAATCAAGGTATTTGGTAGGAAATATTCTACTTTCGAGATATATAGAAAATTAGGTTAGAATGCTGAGATGTCCTTGAAGATGTATCTAGTATTCATGAATGTGTGATCGCAATACTTCGTTTAAAGTAAGCAATAAATATATTGGACATTTAATTTTCTGAAAATACCTGCTATGCCCATATCCATAACATTTTATCTACCCCGTTATGGAATGAAGTTTATAGCAACGGGCAACAGAAGAACGTTGAAGTAGGGTCGGCAGCTTGTTGCAAACACATTTAATTTCAATTCCAATGATGTTTTTGGCATAATTTTCGTGAGAGCTCAACCAAAAAACATCCTTTGAGGAATTATAAAAGTTTACCGGTCTTAACATAACCGAGGCAAATTGAGAATCAATCATAGGTAGGTAGAGGTTTTTTTTATATAACATCCTGAACTATGTGTAACCACGCTTGATTCCTAAGGGCCTGTTGTAATAATGTGTTGTTTTTGGTTGAGATATCAGTGAAAAATGTGCCTAAAATCCTCAACTTTGACCTGAAATTAAAGACAACAAACTGTCGAAATGCAATCCTAATTTAAAATCTTTTTATATTTCTGGATTTATGGGTGTAGATCGTGTATTATTAGATCTGGTCCTATACACTGTTTTGCGTCGATGCAATACACCGTAAGAGATATATTGTTATTGTTAACAATTGTAATTGTTGGTACTTACTGTGAATATGTGTGTTAGCTTAAGAAAATGTTGAAAGCTTGTGGAAAAATTGTATCTAAAACATAAATTGCATATTAAATATATTACAAAATTCCGCTGTACATCAATTGTAAAATTTTATCAGTAGATTTTTCTTACATTTTTACGTCGTTTTTGATATGTCTGTTAGCTGTTTTAAAACGATACAAATTCGTTCGAATTACATGATTCAAGTTTAACTTTTTCTGTAATATCATTTGTATTGGTTCGAATTTGACTTCAGCGACTGAAATTGATATTCTGAGCAAGATATCGAATATTTTATGTTAAAGAATGAACAGAAGTGTCAAGTAAATGACGTATCGATGGCACTGCAGTTATCACAGTTAATAAAATAGCACCTAACAAATATAGCAATGCCCTTGGAAATAAAATTAGTGGCTAATTTCGAAATTTATTGGAGTGTTTCCAGAATATTAAAAAAACAACTTCCTTGATTACCCATTTCATGTAAGCAAGAGCGAGGAGCAGCTGTGTTACTTATTTGTATTGATTCGCAACCCCCAAAATCTGTGAAAAGACCAATTTTGTTTAAAAAAAACGAATAGTAACGTCCTCTTTGTTTAGGCACAGGTCCCATAACACTACCACAATAAACCCATGATTCAGATGCAATTTATAATACCGAAGTTCTTTAATAGAGAAACACAATACTTTTTGTCTTTTGGCACATTCTGCAAATACGTTCAATCCATGTTCAGAGGTTTTTTTTGTAAAAATAGTTTCCTAAACGACATATTATCTTTTGAAATAGTTAAGTGTATTTTTGCATTTCAAATTGATCACATAACGCAGGTACTTCTTCTTTTAAGGGGTATACCCTGTAAGTACTCTTGATCTCCAAGAGGTCTCCTTAATGCTATCAACACTAGTTTTTGGTCGAATTTTGGTCATGTTAAAAAACCTACTTCTCAGCTGGGACAAAATCAATTTGCGACGGGTTGCCGATAGGCCAAAAAAATAATATCGTATCCTAACATACTTTGATACACACTGCATCTGAAGTTGTTACAGGATCTGTACCTATTTGTTCAATGATTCTTGTCTTCCTTTTACTAGTAAGCAATTCTTATTGTTATTCTTTAACATGAAATACTCTTTTGACAGCTATGTAAACTAAGTATTGTAAAGATAACGACAAATTTCCTATTTGATTCTGGAGGTGGGCCCGAGAGTTCATTAGCTGAAATATAAATTTTTATTGAAATATTCTTAGTCACGTTGTTAGATATTTTTTTAATGTTTCTTATTTATGCTAGTAAGATATTGCTTTGGAAAATATATAAATATTTCAACTTAAAGTGCTTTATTTTCCCGTATAGCGCTTTTGTGATTGTAATGTAGAATTCTCATTTATACTTATTTTTAGTATTCAATGATTTTTTCTATACAGTATTGGATTTTAAAAAATACCTCTGTTCTACACAACATGTTTATCAATCAGTATCAATTCTGGGACAAATTATATTGAAATTGAACATTTGAAGTCGTTTGGTGCACAAGGTGTTATAAGTTGTTAATATGGAAATTATGGCCAGAATAAAAATATGAAAAAATTCATGTAAACATGAGCTAAGACATACCCCAAAAATGTGTCGTTTTTTAAAAACCATATTGATACGCTTGGAAAGTACCTTTTACAATTTTTCATTATGCTATGAAAAATAAATCTTATTTCAGGAACAGTACGTTTGAACGAGAACTTTAAGAGGCACATTTGATGATTTGATGATGAACTTTTCTTCTGTAACACCCTGTATAAAAAGTTTTTAAAAAATCAATCACTTGAAAACTTTTATCATAGAGGTAAAAGTACTTTTAGAGATCCAGTAGTGTAACTTATTCTGCACTTGCAGTAGCATCTTATGTTTGAACTTACTTGCAAGCATCCTAGATTACCTATATTTTGCAACTTTCAGCGTCATTCATCAAAGTGACCAGTGATGTAAATTAGGTGCATTGCTACGTCGAAAGTATATTTTAATCACACTTTCAGAATATTAGATAGAAAAAGTGTATGTCCTGTGTGATAATCCCTACCGCTTGTTCTCTCTTGCACAAACTTCGTCGCACAAAAGCATGCTTAATTCCACTTGATTTGTTTCATCCGTTAAAAGTTTTTGATTTTGTTTGTTTTAGACTCATCTCTGAGAAACGCCAAGAGATTTAAAACTTAACTGCCAACAAATATTTCCCAAACAAGCGCTCTCAGGATCGGGTAAGATATTACTATAAAAACAGTTACTTCGGTAACTGTGATGTGGAGATTTCACTGTTTTTGTTTTTGTACGTACAAGGATACATTGTTGTTACGATATCAAGTATTACAAACGATTTAACTAAATAGTTAAAAAGTTGAAAACTATCAGAACTTAACCTTCTTATTACCTTGAAGGTTTACATCTGTCAGTAGCCGAGGAATCCCAACAGTAGCTTCCCATTTATTGAAAGTACAAACACCATGCTTTTCCAATAACTGATATAAAGCTTAAACATTTGTCCATTTTATATAGATTCGCTATTCCGGTCGATGCATTTTTGTAAATCCTGTGGCAGTATTTCGATGCCCATGTCACTAGCACTGACCCCATCTTGCACCTTACTGGCTAAATGTTTTTTTAACAAGTAACAAAAAGTGTCAAAGGTGGCCTAGTTGCCATGCTTCGCCTCCCATTACTACTAGCGAACAGGTAGGTGCCAGGTGCGAACTATAGGGTGGGTTTGTGATCCCTCCCTCCTGATTATTTTGCGTTCTGAATCAAGCGTCTGAGTTTTCATAATTCACAGTACTACCACTTGTTTCCTAGGTTAAAAGAGCTATTATGATAGAAGAGATTCAGTGCTTCCTTATGGACCTGGGGTTGGCAAGATGATATGTTATGGGCATACAAAAACTGTCACAGAGTCAACAAAAATGAATCGACCGAAATGGCGATGATATACCAATGTAAAATCCTCTATCAATTATTCGAAACAAATGGTTTTTGTAAATTGGAGACATGTCTTCTTCTGTATTCCAATACTAACCTATATATCTGTGCAAGGTCAATGCAATCTGAAAATGTTCTATCAGTGATTAAAAAAAACCCATTCAATTCAAGCCACGGAATCTGAACAATTCTTCTAGATTTTTAGTATAGTAGACAGAATGTGATATATTTTTTTAAACAAAACTGTAGGAGATTTTAGATAGTATATGCTTGTGTATATTTATAGAGAATGGATGGAAACTTACAATTCAAGGAAAAACTCACTTTGTGAAGTCAGAAAGTGTTGGTCTTCAAAATAACTAAAAATTCGACTTCATTCTTATAGATTTTCGATAAAATCATCTCGTGAACAAATGTTTTCTGAAGTTCCAATAATACCTGAATACATTATACTCTATAATGTACGCTCCAGGTTAAGAAATAGAACGCCTAGAACCACGATTTGTTATTGTGGTAACAGTATCAGTGGTCAAAGGAGGGTAAGAGGTATTTGTATCATATTTTTGTTTCTAAGATTGTATTAGGTACCCAAGATGAAATAAAAACAATAACCTCCCCGTGTTTGTCTGGCCAAACGACACTTTTTGACAATATATTTTGTCTTGATTTGTTTTTTTTATTTCTCATTTTCACATTCCTATTCAATGTGATACTTTAATGGTCTGAAAGGTCCGTAACATGGTGGACGTCTCGCCCTTTAAAACGACAAGCGAGCATAGTGTTATCTGTCGTTTTTTACTGTAACAGACACATCATCCTCATTTATCCACTCGAGGAGCGAAACGTATACAATAAAGAAGAATTTTAGCACATGGTTTGATTGGCCAGACAAGGAATTACCGACATGAAAACCACAGGATAAGTTTCAGATGTAAATAAAACAAAAAAAAATGATGAGAAAGCAAATGGATTAGGTGTAGTTTATTTTCAAAGATGAAAAGTATCTCATTTATTACATATTATTATAAATTCTACATTTATTGCATACCTAGACGAATTTTTTATAAATAATTTACACATCATCAAATACCAAAAATATGTGCTGTTTAATATTTCTTAAATTGTAAAGATTGTACAGTTGTGTAGTTAGTATACCATGTATATCATCTCATGTACATAAATAAATTTCCAATGTTACCATATATTTCAATCTAAATGTCATATAACGTAACGGTGATACGTAGTGGTTTATTTACGTAATATTGTAGACATTCCATTTTGTTTATTTAATTTATATTTTGAAATCATAAATAAAATGAATTATTCACATCAAAGTGTTTTTCTTTAACTATCTATTAGTAATCTTGTAATTCAAGTTTTCACGTCGAAATTAGCTTTGATGAAATTGATGCATGAACACTATAGGTAAAGTATATCTGATTGATGCCCATTCCCTTATTCGTTGGCAGTTTATCAGACAGAAAATAATAGTTTTCTTGAACCTACATTATTTTTAGCCGAATCAACTGAAATGCTTTATCTGAGTTGTAAGAGAAAATTCGACTTTTTCGTCTAGCATCGTATACAGCTTTTATGCCTTAATAATGAAACAGTCGCCTCCTTTTGCATAAAATCTTAGTAATAATAAATGGCCTTTATTCGTCACATGATTAGAAAACAATTGGCTTAATAGGAATAGTGATGAAAATGTGGAGTGTCAGCTTACGCAACCCGACCTAAAAAATATTGACACAAACTATAAAGAAAAAAAAAGTACCTACATTTAAATGACAGAGTTCACCAAAAAGAGAAAAGCTTAAATTATTACACTTCTCAGAAAAATGAAACAAAATTACCTGAGGATATGCGTGAAGTAAATTCCAGCCAACCGATTGCTATAAGCTCATCTTAAACCTTTTTTGAAGTTGCTTAGGCATTCTTTATACTCACTTGACAAGCATTTATATAGTTTGGATGCCTAGTACGAGAGACTAAAACATCTACCTTCCATTGGCCCGTTGTCGAAGACAGAAGTGTCATAGAAAAAGATGCAATTTTCATGCATTTGCTCACACCTGTTGTGACCAAAAGAGGAAAAATAATATTTGGCGTAGAATTTGAGCCTTATAATGTGGGTTAAATGTTTGTTACTTTTTTCAAATAAAAGATGTTTTCAACTATCAAAAATGTTGTTTACACTTACCCTATTAAATTTAGTTCACTCTTAATGCATAAATACGCACTAGGCTCCACTTGCCCCTTACCATTGGGGCAAGTGGAACCTACGGACAATGAAAATAAAATACCAAAAATTAAAAAATCTAGTGCCACTAGATAACTTTATGTAAGTAGATACTTTCCAAAATGTATCTTTAGTAAGCCTCTTTAATATTAATTTAAGATTAGTTAGCTAGTTTTTTATTGCATCACTCTAAAGACGATCTATCAAAATTCACGGTTCCACTTATCTCGGTGTACCTTCTATACTTTGAGGTTGAAAACCAGCTAAGCAGTAAAAAAGCTCAATCCTGGGGCTCAACCAAGACTTGCAACTGGGAGGTCTTCACTGCCATCATTAAAGAAGCTTACCATGATTACTTATAAAATACTACTTTTATAGCACCTGTTTAGAGACACAATGTATAGAGGCAAGAAATTGGCTATAATGGCCAAGAATATTCTAAAGTTGAGGCTCAGCGCGAGTGTCCTAGAAAAGTTCAAAATGTAATACCCATGAAGGCTGTAGATACAGTAGGGGAAGGGGGGCATAATGGTGACGCGGGGCGATCAACATATCTATATTTTGATAACTACGCACACGAGTGTTGTCACCGCCAACAGCCGACCATGTTGCATCACTCTTCAGTCTGACAGTATCCGGCGACTAGGATGCGCGCGCTTTTGTTTTATAACCTATTAAGCATCCCACAAACCGGCGCGAAATATTCGCTTTGGCTGCGAAAATTTCGCGGCGATGAATTCGCGATCAGATTAAAACGCGGCGGTTTACGGACAGGCTCAGACTTGTGCGAAGCGAATGCGATTGTTCCAGCGTTTTTATCGCGGCGTATTTCAGTTCGCCTTTGACCGCGTTTTTGACGCCGTTCTTCAAAAATTCGCAATGGCAAAAACGGAATTATTGATAGAAATAGTGAAAAAGTATCCTTGTTTGTATGATTTGTCGAACGATGAATACAAGAATGTGAGAAAGAAAGACAAGATTTGGATGGAAATAGGAAAAGAATTAAATACAAATGGTATGTACCTAATATTTTTTATTAACTTGTTAAATAATTTACAGTCTACACAAATGTGAAAACGAACATTCTATATATTGGGCATAGGCATATCAGAATTAAAATAATTTACGAATTTGTCACGAGTAGAAAATGCTAGCCTTGCTGCCCGCCGAGGATCATTTGCTATATCAGTAAAAGCTCCAAGCACGGGTTTTGGGGGATCTAAGAATTGAAAATATTTGTCATCGCCACTTTTACTTCGTAAAAAATTGTGTAAAACACATGCAGTACGTACAATTAGAATAGTAGTATCTACTTTAGTTTCTAATGGCCTTTAAAATATTCGCCATTTTTGAGACAAAATACCAAACGCATTTTCCACGACCCTTCTAGCTCGACAAAGTCTTACATTGTATTTCTCTTTTCTGACGTCTGTTAAAGTCTGCTTATAAGGAAATGGTCTCATAAGGTATGGTTTTAAAGCAAATGCTTCATCACCAATTAAGACGTACGAGCAGATTTCATTTTGCCCAGGGAGAAATCTAGGTGCAGGGACACTCATTAAATTTTGTTCAAATCATTTTCCCATGTTTGAGGTTTCGAAAATACCCCCATCAATATTTTTTCCGAAACCACCAATATCAACACATATAAATTTATAGTCGGGGCCAGCAATGGCTATAAGTACTATTGAATATTTATGTAAATAGCACCAGTAATTGGAGCCACTGTTGTTAGGTCTCTTGATTGTTACATGTTTACCGTCCACGCTGCCAATGCAATTGGGAAATCCCCATCTATTTTCAAATTCTTCAGCACATTTTTTTCCATATATTCTCTGTTGGTTCTGGTAAATATATATGTTCCATATGTCTGCATATCGCTTCACAGACTTCGGTTACGATTGCACTCATTGTTGTAAAGCCAACTCGAAAGCTATGCCCAATGGTATAGAAGGTGTCACCAGTGGCAAGGAATCTATAAAAAAATTGTTTTTAGGTGATGAAGTAAAAAAAAGGTGGAAGAATATCAGAGACACATTTGCAAAATATATAAAATCTACCAAACCAAGGACCGGCCAAGCAGTGGGCAACATAAAGAAATGGCAGTGGGCTGACTACACGGAATTTTTCCGTCCTTTTTTGGCATTTGCCAAAACGTCGTCTAATGTGAAAGATATTGACGTCATACAATATGAGACTGCCGAATTTAACTCAAATATATACCAGGAAAGGGCTGTAAATGTAGAAACCGAAAATTTGGAAGACCGCGGCCATGGAGAAGATGAAAATGCTGATGTAGATGCAGAAGATGCACAGAACGCCTCGGCAACACAGACAGCACCACCTTCTTCATTGAACACTACAGCAGTGACTACTCCAGGGCACACCTTTCCGCAGACTGCAACTACACCAAAATATAAAACGAGCAGAAAACGCTATGAACCACCATCTTCGTCTGTACAACAGCTCATTAATTATTTTGAAGGTAAAAAACCTAAAAAAGAGAACGAGGCCATTGGTTCACTTTTCTTGGCACATGCACAGACTGTGAAAACACTTCCCTTAAAGCGTCAAGCCCGAATAAAACTAAAAATAGCCGAATTAATAGCGCACGAAGAATTTGAACATATTGAAGAAATGTCTTCAGCGTCTACCCAGAATTCTGCAAGTATGTATGATAGTAGTATGTCGTCCTTTCCAAGCGGCACTGGGTTTACTCCAATAATATACCCAACCGAGGAGGCAAATTCTGCCTCGAATTATTTAGCAACATTTAATCCTAGTGGCAACATGTAGTCCAATTATTACAATAAAATATTTATTTCACGATCCCTGAAGTTTTCGTATTTGATAAGCCTACTAATTTTAATACATAATTTTTTTACCTGAGTGTAATAGCAAGTCGTTCTTCTGGCGAAATAGCTTCACGATAATTTGTGTCAGATTTTCGTATTTCATCTTTCACCAAGTTCAATATTTCATCGAAACACTCTGGAGTCATTCTAAAATATACGTAAAAGCGCTGTTCATCCAGCCGAAGTTGTGGCATCAAGGTATGGTATTCCCCAAATTTATTTCGTTCCAAGTTAATATCATGTACCCACTTCCTTCGTTTCCTAAACAAAATTGAAAATATTTGTTTTATGTACTTCGTTAAACTTAATACATACCCAACTATCAAATGGCGTTAAATAAACATAACTTACCGTGCATTTTGTTCCTCTTCTAAAGCAAGAAATAGAAGTGCCTCCTCTTCTTCTGAAGACGAGCTCATTGCAAAAGGCAAAAATAAAATGTACGCAACCTGTCGAAACCTTCACGTTCGCGGAGCGAATAAGACGCTTTGGTATGAATAAACAGGCGAAACAGATTGCGAATTTCGCTCTGAATTTCGTTGCGAATACTTCGCCGCGATTATTTCGCTCCGGTTTGTGGGATGCTTAATTGTTTTCGGCGTCATTTCATCTAATTTTAAGTGGTTACAAAAACGCACATAAAAAGGTAAGTGTTCAGAGTAATACCATCGATTTTGTGTTGTGTTGTTAAGAGACATCAATTATTGATATGTTTTGGAAAACATCTCTGTAACTACCATTTTTTTTTGTTTGTTCAAAATTAAAAAGAATGGGGGCATAACGGGGCCGTGGTGATGAGGTACAATGGGGTACCCTATTGTGCCTCGTCACTGTTGTCCCCATTATGCCCCTGTTATGTAAGCTGTTTGAATAATCTGTTTATTTGTGAATAGGATTCATTTTGTTGCAGATAAAAAATGGTACGTACGTACAAAAAGAAAAGTTCCAGAGGCAGTTGGTCTAAAGAAAGCATGAAACAAGCAATTGATGCAGTTTTGAGCAAAACAATAGGCTACAGAAAAGGATTTCAACTCTACGGTGTTCCACAAACTACATTGGAGCGTTATGTCGTCAAAACACTCCAGGTAACTTTAAACCCGTATTTTCCAAAAAAGAAGAAGATGAGCTTGTGAGGTATATTAAAGAAATGGAGAAACGTCTGTTCGGATTAACCACTGTCGTCCTACGAAAGCTGGCTTATCAGTTGGCGGAGAAAAATTCTAAAGCTCATAATTTATAACCATGATAAAATGATAGCTGGCGTAGATTGGTTGAAAGGATTCATGAAACGTCATCCAGATGACTACTGAGACATTTATGACGTGGTTCCAACGGTTCAAGTTTTCTGGTGCGTCAATAACTAACCCGGTCTTGCTGCTTCTAGATGGTCATGTACCGCACACACAAAACTTAGAGGTTATTGAAAGTGCACGTAAGAATGGAGTTGTAATGCTTTGCTTTCCCCCTCACTGCACCCACAGGCTCCAACCTTTAGATGTTGGCTTTACGAAACCTCTGAGTGTATATTATGATCAAGCTTGTTCTAACTGGTTAAGGTCGCATCCGGGGCGAATAATAACAATGCATTAAAAAAATGTGACATGGCCATTCAATCAAAGCAACTTCACAGATTCAGATTTTTTAGCTGCATCAACAACAGACGTACCACTGAGAAATAGCGAGCCTGAGACAGGTGCTTCATCTACTGAAATCCAGCAATATCCACTGCTTTCCCTTAACCCTACGTTAGTCGCGCGGTCTACGACTGTAGACCACGCCTATTTGAACGACGCTATTTTTGGGAAATAAGTCATTTCGCATGCGCGCCGCTGAATACCTGTGGTCGACACTCAAGTCTATACGTTCAGTAGACAAGTCGCAGTGAAATAGTCAGCTGGTAATTCTTACGCACGTCTGAATACGATTGGTCTACGATTGTAGACCCCGCGCGTAACAGTGCGACGTTATTCGTCAAACACGCAGTTGAATTGTTTAAATAACAATTTGTTATAAATTAGGTAAGAGATATTCTTTCATTTACTACTTAGAATTATATTTTTATTTGTCAAAAATAGATTTTAGTTTGTATTTTTACAAGTGTATGTATTATTTTGGCAAAATAATGGTATAGTTATAATTTGTTTCAGAAAAAAAATGTCTGATTCTAAGAGAAGGTGTGTAGAAAGAAGTAGGGATCCAGATGTTTGGCTTAGATGGTATGAAGAGTTATCAAGTGGGGAGGAGAGTCCGTTAGATGAAAATGAGCAAGATGAAGAAGAGAAAAATGAAAATATAGTGGAAAGAAGTGATCGTGAGACGGACTCGGAAATAGAATTCTCATCAGATGTAAATGAAAGTCCATCAGAGAGCGACGGTGAACAAACTGATAATGGCGGTAGCAAATTTTACATAGGGAAGGATAAAACGACTAAGTGGAGGAAAGAATGTGGTAATGTACAAGTGAGAACGCGTGCTCATAATATTATCACACATTTACCTGGATCTAAAGGTGATGCCCGCAATGCAATGCTTGCAATTGACTGCATAAAACTTTTTGTGTCCGACGCCATTATACGAATTCTAGTTTGTTCAACAAATATTTACATTGAGAACATAAAACATAGATTTGACAGGGATCGAGATGCTAGATTAACTAACGAAACAGAGATAAGAGCTTTGATAGGGATTTTGTTTTTGATAGGAACACTGAGAAGTTCAAGAAAAAATGCTCGTAAAATATGGGATAATTCTAAGGGCAATGGAGTTGAACCCTGTTATCTCGCGATGAGCGAAAAACGATTTCGATTTCTCCTCCGTTGTTTGAGATTCGACGATATTACAACAAGAGCTGAAAGAAGAGAACTGGACAAATTAGCACCCATTAGGAATGTTTTCGAAATTCTCTTGGCTAATTTTCAAAACAATTTCATTCCTAGTGGATACTTGACTGTTGACGAACAATTGTTGGCCTTTAGAGGGCGCTGCTCATTCAAGCAGTATATACCCAATAAACCAGCGAACTACGGAGTAAAGATGTTCGCTCTGGTTGATGCTAAAACTTTGTACACTTTCAATCTCGAACCATACGTTGGTACTCAACCTGCTGGCCCGTATACGTTGAACAATTCTGCCGAAGATATTGTACTACGATTAGTTCAACCAATAGAGGGAACTAATCGCAATCTTACCGGAGATAATTGGTTCAGCAGCATTCCGTTGACAAGAAAATTGCTACAGCAAAAAAAATTAACATATATTGGTACAATGCGGAAGAATAAGCGTGAGATCCCTGTGGAGTTCTTACGTAATAAACAAAGAGAAGAGAAAACATCATTCATTGGTTTTCAAAAAGATATTACGATGGTATCCTACTGCCCAAAGAAAAATAAATCTGTTATTTTGGTGTCCTCCATGCATCATGATAATGCCATTGATCCGGAAACAGGGGATGCAAAAAAAACAGATTTAATAACTCGATACAATAAAACTAAAATTGGTGTTGATTTGGTGGATAAATTATGTGTGAATTATAGTGTCGCAAGAAACACATGCCGTTGGCCTATGGTAATATTCTTCAATCTATTGAATATATCGGGCATAAACGCCGTTTGCGTGTATAAAGCAAATCATCCCTTAGAAAACAAAGTCCTTAGAAGTGCATTTATTGAGGAATTTGCTTGGGAATTGATCAAGCCGCAGATAGAGGCGAGGTCAATTATCACCTCTTTACCGGAAGAACTAAGAAGACGAGAACGTGCTCTTCTTGGTCTTGAAGCTATTGTAGCCCCTCTTCCTCTACCGCCAAAACCAGAAAACTACGTTGGTCGTTGTCATGTTTGTCCTCGAAGTCACAACAAATCTTCCAGAAAAGCTTGCGTGAAATGCAAACGTTATGCATGCAAACAACACATGGCAGACATATGCATTCACTGTTTGCCCGACTGAAAATATTCTTACTTTGTCCTTACTTTTCTAATGAATGTCAAAGAGTTTTTTTTTGTTAATAGTATTTTAATGTAAGTTGCTATCTGCTAATATCAGAAAATTACCTCTGGTTGAATTTTAGCGCGTTAAGATTTTGTGTTGTTGTTCAAAGCTAACCAGAAGCTAATAAAGGGATAAAAAAACATATTTTTTGTTTTTTTTTTCTCCAGTAACTAAAAATGTAAATGCTTTTAAAAATTTAATTTACTCTGAACTATATATCTATGAATACATGTATTTTCAACATTGTTTTGAAATCATGTGACATAAGGTGTCACATAATGACATTAGAAAATGGTCTACATATGTAGACCACGCGATTAAACTCATTACACAATACCACGCGCCTAACGTAGGGTTAAGGAGCACCCACTTGAACAAGTTTTGCCTCTAGCTACGCCACCACATCAGAAAACTCCTATGCCAAGTCCGCGCCTGGACCATCTATACAAAACAAAGACAGTGTGATCCGATCTCCAATTCGAAGAGTATGTCGTGACTTAAAAACTTCCTTTGAAAATGCTTCTCCCAAGGACATTCTCGCGATCCCAACAGTCGAACAAAGAAACCAAACGTGGAAAAATGATCGCAGAGGGAAAACTGTTGTTCTCACTTCAACCCCCTACAAAAATGAGTTGAAAAAACGTGAAAATCTTAAACAGACGAAGAAGTGTTCAAATCCTAATGATCCCCGTTTAAAGAGAAATGCGAAGAAACAGAAGAAGAAGAAGGACGTAGAAAAAGTGGACGAGGATATCTTATGCCTCTATTGCGTTGACGAGAACCATAGTTACTTGAAGTCTGCAGAGAATTGGGTGGCCTGCCAGCTGTGTGAACGTTGGTCTCATACAGCCTGTGCTGGAATTGACGACAAAAATTCGAAAGAAATTCACATCTGCCCCTACCGTGGGGCACAATGGGGATTTAATAAGGATTTCGTAGAATTAAATTTAAGGATATTATTTGATTAGTTACTTTACGAAAGTCTGTGCCAAATGAATCTGTAATATGCAACCAAAGTATCAAGATTAGTTTTGATTGAAAAATATATTTTGTTTATTCTTTTATTCTTTATTTTCCTTAACGGTCCCGTTATGCCCCCCTCTCCCCTACCTGATGTCGGGGAGCGGGGGGCACAGTGAATCATGAGGCACAGTATTTAATCTCAAATTCCCGCCACGTTATTGGCAACACCGTCATAATATTTGGAACGATCACATAATCGCCAGTTACCGCTACTCTCTCGCTGCCGAAGGTTGTGTTGCAGACCCTTCGCTACAGGTAAGCCGCCATTCTTTTTTTCGATGAATTGTGAATTTGCTTATTATTCTCTAAAGCAGCATTTAATTGGCTGTGTAAAACATAGGTATTTTATTTTATTACGGTTAATTTGGATAGGAATTTTACTAATTTTATTCCATTTGACCTTGTGGGGTTCAGTGAATCAATTCGATGTGGGGCAGAGTGGATCAATCATGTCCCATACATTCGTACTAATTTATTTTGACTTTTTTTAGAGCTTTAGGGTAAAAATGGTACTTAACCGTGAGAGAAAGACTACCAATGGAATGCATACAAGAGAAAGCATTAAGCGAGGCATTGATTTAATAAATCAAGGCAAAGCAATCAGGGAAGTTGCAAATATAATAGCTGTTCCTTGTATAGATATTATAAAAAGATTATAGGAAATGAAGGCAATATAAGGTACTTATACGAAAAATTATGCAAACTGACAAATTTTTCACTAGCAGCAAAGGAAGGATGTTGTTAGAATATATCATAACGTGCAGCCAGATGTTTTACGGATTGACTTCCATAGAAGTGCGTTAGTTAGCATATCGTCGTGGCGCCTCCGAAATGTGCTTTGGACACCTTTCATCAGAAATGAGATATTGATGAATAATGGTTAATCATACGTATATATATATATATATATATAAAGTTATAGGGCTACCCTTTAGAACCTAGAAAATAGAAAATGCAAGTCAGCACATCATCGCAGCGCCTAGCAACCGCTGAAATGCAACATATGTTTCCTGTTTAAGTCATGCTAACGAACATTGTACTTGTATAATTAAAATTTAGTCTTAATCTAACTTTCGTACCATCCACTACTGTATTTTCGAAAATAAATATTTTAAAAAAGGTA